AAAAAAGACATGTACTTGGTAAAATATCTGATCAGATCTGAAGATTAGGGAAAAAAAGGATGTGATGTATTGATTTCTAATGCTACCTTTTGATATTGATAATTAGTGCCATGTTAAGATAGGTCTGGCTGACACTCCAAAAATTGCCAGAAGAGGGTGTGGTTTAGCACTAAAAACCTCAAAGTTTGGGACAAACCATGTGTTATAAGTCTTCTTGCGGAGAACCATAATGGTCGCATCTTGAGTCATTATCAGTAAGTATTTTAGTTAACCTGCTTTTACTCAAGTGCATCTTATGGACAACTTTAAACTAAATAAGAAGTCTGGCACAAGAGGTGTTTACCCTGTTCAGTGCACCCACCCACCAATCCTCTGTTAAATTCATCTCAAATTAACTTTCCCATTTAGTTGATTCATAATCTGACAGTAAATATCTGAGATCAGTCCCCTCTAAGTTGGATATGTTTATGTCTTACACAAGAGGTTATGGGTATATGAAGTGAAGTGTTTCAGCAAAAAGTGACAGATCTGAAAGCACCTTAAGAGATTTGAAGGGGCCAGATGCCATTTTTTACAGAATATGTCAAAGCTGGAAAAGTCACAGTCATAGAGGTCCCAGACAGTGCCTTAATTGGACCAAAAAAGGTGCCAGTACCTTAATTTAGTACAACCAGTACAGTACAACTCTAATTCTTTTTTTGCCCCCACTCATCATCCTTTAAACAATGACGTTTTCAGTGCTGTTTTCTAAGTGTTAAGCTCGCTATGTGTTTACATGGGGACTGCGCAGGGTTGCTCTACCCAGGGTTTTAGAAACAATGAGGTCCAAAAACTTGCTAGGGAGGTTTGGGGGGTATGCATCAAAGTAAAGTTATTTTTAGGCAATTTCACAACTTTTATTGTATACTCCTTGTAAAAAATGAGTTCCAGACCTTGGTGGGGAAGTAAGGATACTCATGTGGACAAAAATGAAAAAGTGCTGGTACTCAGTATCAGTGAGTATTGGCCCATTTCAGGCACCTATTCTCCTGAGCCTCTAAAATGCACGATTCCATAAATTCTGATTCAAATTCAGAATTCAAGGTTATTTTATTGTCATTTACAACGCAGGCTTGTAGAATGAAATTTAAACATAATTCCCTTTATGCTACTTTTAAAAACTAAATAAAAATTGATTAAGTCGTGAATGAATGTATAAAAACAAATGTTGCTGAATCCTGATTGGTGCTCATTATGTGATATCACCTTTTTCTAACTGAGTTTCAAAAAAAGCAGAGCAAAATACTAAAATCTCTGATCTTGTGTTGGGTAAATCTTTTGACACATAGTGAGAATATGTCAGTTGTCTTTATTGTCAATGTGTGGTTTGGGACACTAGCCTTAATAGTATGAAAAAAACAAAAACATAATGTCATTTGAATTCACAAGCCGCTCCCCTTTCTGGGTTCATGTTTGATTTTTTTTCTATTACCTTTCCCTTATTTCTTCATGCTGTTTGTTTAAAAAAGAAAGCATTACCAATGTGCATTAAAATGGTAGATTTGGAGTCAGTCGTACATGCAATTTGGGTGTGCTAAGAAAGTCTTTCTTTATAATGGCGTCATGCTAAATGCATGGCATTCATGGTTTTATAAACATTTTAGAAAAAAAATAATTACTTTTCAAATAAACTGATAGAAAACAAGGCAAAATGTGGGGTGTAAGTTCAACAGGTGAGCTGTAGTGCACTTGTAATAGTTTTTATTATGCCAGATTTTAGAGGGTGCTGCAGGCCCGATGCACCCTACTTCCAGTGCCCATACATGGGTCTGAGACATTTGTCACTCATAGCTCCTTCTCACTCCAGCGTGTCTTTAGAAAGATAGTGCACTACAACATCATATCAGCGGATTAACATTTGAATCATTAATACTATCATCCCATCACCACTTTTAACCATAGTCTTGTTTCCAGCACTCCCTTTATCTGTGATGAAGAATGAATCATTATTATGGTGTAGGTCGTTGGAACAGGAAACACATCAAGTCCACTACCACATACACTGTTTGCATTCACTGTAGGGATGATTGCATATTTCGCTTCAGCAGCATTAGAATACCCTCTAAGGATGTGTCTTGTTCTTCATTTGATTTGAGATTTCGCCTCATCATTCCTCTCCAGCTCATTATGAACAGCTGAATGATGTCTGAAGTGGTGGGAAATAGATTATTATAGCCTGTATTATCTCGCTTTTATTATTATCTCTCTCAGTATTTTCCTTTATTGGTTGTGCAAGGGTTTAAAATACTGCACATTTACAATATGTGAGAGCAGCAATGGTCGAGAGAGCTCAAGATTGAATGAAGAGACGAACCAGTGTTAACGAGAACAAAGCAGTGAATCAAATACATAAAAAGCTATTTTCTGATTGTTTTACTGTGGTTTTAGTTGAAGAAAAGTCGCTAACTATGCTCTGCTAATTAAGAGACAAACACATTAATTGACTAATTCTTCACTATAAAAATCCCTGGTTATTTTGTTATTTAAAAGCTTTTATTGTAAAGCAGCAAAATCAGGAGGTGTTGCGTTTTTATCAGCAATAATGTAACATGACTCCTTTACAGCTGAAAGCAAACATGAAACAGTAAAATAAAGCTGATATGTGAAAGTACAAACAGAAGACACTTCAAACCACAGAGACACAGTAAGAAGTTACAAAAGTAATCACACCCTCTCTGCTAAACTCTACACATTTAAACAGGTAATGGAAACACAAATCAAAACCACAATCGTGTGGCTAGAAGGTCCAATGGATAATATTGTGTTCAAGGCTTGATATGGCCTGCATGAGCTGACAATTATGACTAATAACAAATGTTATTCTCATGATCTAAAAAGAATTGTGACTTGTTTCCACTCGCACTACAGTTAGTGTATGCAAATAGATTCGGTTCTACACCATCTTGTTCTTCACAGACTCTTGTCAGTCTCAGTATGACACTAACGCATCCTGACACAGGTCACACACACACACTGTCTCAAGCTGTCCTGGTAATTTAAACTGGGAAGCTGTGTGGAATATAAAAATACAATTCCTTTGATGAGGACACAGTTGCAATCTGCACAGATGTTTGTGCTTATTTTGCAACAGGCGGTTGTGGTCGTGCATGATTTCACTAAGGTGACCAGTGGATCTGGATACTTTGACAATGTGAGACACAAGCTACTGAGGACAAGTGCTGTAAAGAACCAGACATTACTCCACCCTCCTGACTCCACTGCATTCATTTAATATGTGCCCACTGGGTTGAAGAATGTATGTTGAAAGTGAAAGAGACATCACATGCGTCTGTGTGGGTGTAAGGGACCGAGCTGGCTGGCATGAGGAGTCAAAAAAGAAAATAATCAATTTACAAAATATACAAAAATGTCATGGGCCCATTAAAGAGGTCACCTAAACAGAACTTAACTCAGGCTACATTAACTGAACAAACTAAACTAAACCAACCAATCCAACTAAACAGAGACATTAGGGGAAAGTTACATTGTGGCTGATTAGGCCACTCTGACACACAGGGGGAAAAGACTAAAACATAACATTGAAACAAACCATAATAACCTCAAATAATGTCCAGATAACACAGCCTAATATTAACTAACTGAAATGCTAAACATCAAAAAGCATAATTATCAAAGAAATAACAAAACTCAAACAAGGAGAAACCACTGCCTCTCCCCATGATGCAGGCCAACATGGTGCAGCCCAATTATCTGCCCAACCCCTTTTAAGCATCTCACATTCAGCTGGCATTTCCTTGGTCAGCCACGAGACACCTACAGCAGCAACACCCAGGAACTGGTAACTCAAAGAAAAAGAAAAATAACAGAAATTAATGAACCTAATAATACTACTACCCAAAATTGACAAAGAAAGTTAACCATAGTGTGCACCCAAAAAAATAACCTACTCTGTGGAAATGGATAATAAAACTGTATTATGAATCCAAAATCTGTCCAGTTATTTATTGTGAATTGTGTATAATGTTTGAAACCTAAAGATAACGAAACCTAAAGATAATCAAACAAATAAAGGAGTTACCCTGTGCTTTCCTCAGTGTGTGGCTGCTGCTGAGGCCATCACAGTGGGTGATTAATGTTTTAACATTCTGACCAGGTCCCTGCAGGTTGGTGGTGGATGGCGCAAAACTTGAATCTTGACAGCAATTTGTCAAGGTGGCCCTGGCCCCCCATTTGACGGCGCCCCGGTGCGTTGTAAACAAACCAACCTGCCAACAGTTTGCAAGGCTGGAGTTGAAGGGCACAAAAGAAAAAGTCTACATTTACTGTTAACACATTAATTTAAAGAATTACATGTTGAAAAATGTAAATCCATTTAATGAACTGTTATGGCCACATTTTAGACTAAGTGATAGGCTAGGTCCAGTGTCTATAATTTAGTGGTATCTAGTGGTGAAGTTGTAGATTGCAACCATTTGAATACAGCTCAGCCAGTGTGTAGGAGAAACTACAGTGACCAGAGTTAAATAAAATAATTTATTGATTTCTAATGCCATTAGATATTTCTATTCAATGCTTTACTAATATGCCACAATAGTGTTTTTGAGTGCAAATATCTTCATTCATTGGATAAGACACATCAAACCAATAGATGTCAGGAACCCTATTCTGAAACGAAACCGTTTCATTAAGGACAAACAATCATGATCTCTTTACCCTCAGATACAAACAACTGTAGCTCTGAGCAGAAGGAATCCTTCACTTAATGATCCATAATTATTACAAGCATATGCCCCCACAGTGGCCTCCGGTATGTTACAGTTATTACCGGTACTTTGATTATATTACAACAGAATATTTTCATTTGACTTTTATTTTTATTGTAATATTACTAGCAATGACTTACTGTCCAACAGTGCCCATTAGCGTCTGATGTATTCTTTAAGTGAAAGGCTCAGTGTGTGCAATAACTGCATGATGGAAATGAGGCGTGTCAGCTGGTGGACGCTTCACTTCCTTGTTCTTCTGGGGAGGACGGAGACGAGTGACTGTATTCGGCTGAGATAGCGCTCAATGTTGGAAGCAAACATCTAAAAGTGTTCATTTGTCTCTGTGAGCTGGCAGAACGTCTGAAGCTATGGCGGACAGCCGAGAAGAGGAGAAAAAAGAAAGAGACCAGGAGCCTCAGGGCGCCGTTGGAGGGGAAGGTAACTGATGTGAAGCCATGATGTCCGGTTGACACACAAACTTTGCGGCCTTTTTTCACTAAAAACACAGAACGTCGTTCAATTCCCACATAAGAGTCAAATTCAGGGTAGTTAAAATCCCATTTTGATATCAACGTTTAGGGGACCGGAAAGTCCTCGTTGTAATGTTCTGAATGTTTTAACTTTACCTGAAGCTAACCTTATCCTTAACCATTGGCCTTTTCGGTGCTTTACCCCACTGTAACCACAACAGGTTATCTCTGCTACCACCACCGAGAACCTAACCGAAGGGTAACGGCAACCACAGGGACGGGGTGGGCGCTACCGGAAACATCACCTGAAGTTGACATGAAACTTTAGCTAGCTGTTTGCCGACAAGACTCTGAAAATGCTAAAGTTGCATCGTTAAAGAGTGTTTTCGTGTAGGTGATAGTGGTTGATCCAGAAAGCCTCAAATAGCAGTACAACGTGCTCTTAACTAACTGGTTAGATGCTGTTAGGTTAACTGTGTCAATAAAGATTTCTGGGACAAGTGTTGAAAATGAGCTCACGGTTTGTATGCCGATTTAATGTGGGCATTGTAAAGAACCGCAGAGGCCTTATGTCTGCTCTGTGTGCTAACTGTAATGCGGCTGCTGATAAACAAGGTCATAAAACGGGGAGAGTTTGGCCTGAGTCCGGTCAGTAAGCCAGAGTAGGTGTGCTGGAGCTGGAAGGGCTGAAAAGTTTCAAACTTTATTTGATGTGCAGTTCAAACCAACTATCTTTTAATACATGAGCAAAACAAGACCATTCACCACTACGAGTTAGTAGATTATCAAACAACGAAGAGCCTTTTTCTTTTATCACGGGGTTAAATACTAGACTGATCATGTCATTAAAGATGTCACATCGACAGTAAAAGAGATACTTTTAACATAAACTTTTAATTTGAGATGTTATTTAGGCGATAGAGACAACATTGGCCTACATTGTTGAAAGAAACTTAAACAGGCCAGGACCTTAATTTTAGCTTAATATTTAGCTGCCTACTCAAAACATATGATTGTTATTGCTGGGAATCATTTTTGTAAGAACTACCTCATTGCAGTGATTCATTAGCTAGTAAAGAGTCTCTAAATCACAAAAAGTAGTTATGTTTTATGGTACATAGGTTGTAATTATAATTATTTTTATTTACAAAACCACTGTTTTGAATATAATTCTGGAAATGAATTCCCCAACTCTGTATTAAAGCCACTGTCTAATTGACAGACAGTGTTTTATTAATGCCGGTATAGATGTTAGAAAATATACTGAATAGTTTGTAAAATATTGTCAAACAAGATTTTATCCAACAACAAGTAAGACACCACACATAATCAGAGGCTGCTGAGAGAACACATCTTAAAAACAACTTCAATGTTTGGCATGGTAAAGATCATGGCACTGACAGCATTACTTTCATGCAATTGTGTAAAATTCCCTTGCAAATGGATGCATAGAGCACTAATATTATAAATCAAGGCTTTTTCAATCATATTTGTTTGTACTTAAGTAATGTTAACACAGTGTTTCCTCTAGAATTTTTTTTTTTTAGCAGTGGGGGCAGGCCCTTTCCGAAGAAAGCGAACGTTTTGACAATAAGCTACATCAACACAACAGTATGTGGAGTTAAACTGGACAGCCCCAATAACCTCTGAATAGTTCTACTTGTTGTTAAATTGCACTGTGAGCGGCAGCCAGCGGGGGTGCATTATGTTGGCAGGATCATTTAAAAGGCAACCGTGACTACATTGTGCGTCTGCCCCATTTCTGATACCGTGGCGGCAGAAATTGAACAGCGGCGGACCGTCGCTCCAAAACCAACATAGAGGAAACACTAACACCGACAAACCATAAATTACAAATGTGATGCCCCAGGCATGCTTTCTCAGTCAGATATAGCTGTTGCTCCAGGGTCGATGGATGTGACATTGCCATGCATCAAAGTGAAACCAAGAAACCCTCTTATGAATAGTACACCTGTTGATGCAGTTGTAGGGAACGCAGCACCTCCTCCATGCCTTCTCAGTGGCTATGTGAGCTCAGCCCAAGAAATGATTCGTCCTGATGACACATTCCATTAAAGCAGCTACACAGGTGGCTTTCTTCAATACAACCTCAACTCCTGTCTGTCCTGTGTTGGCTGTCTCTGCCACAGCAACAAAAATATTTGCTCAGTTTCTTGTTACAATGAGTAACAATAGGGTAAATTAGGGTAAAAATGTTTACTTTTTCATGCAGACAGAAAAGTGAGCTCTGCATTAGTCTTTATCGCAGTTGCTGTAACATTCAACATCATGAATGCTGCTATCTGAACGTTTGGGGTTTAAACACACAAATCAGTACAATGCTTTTGAGAATTGATACAATATCACAAAATAAAATCCCAATTCAATATTTTTTTTTTATATTTTCTTACACCTAGTGTAAGTGTATAATGGGCAATTAGCCATTGTAATGAAGAATAACACATTTAACTGGGTTGAGCTAGAGCAGCAAAATACTACCAGCAACACAGAAGCACTCAACTGGAAACCAAAGAGGGTTACGTCTTTTATGTTATATATTGGTTTACGGACATAATGCACAAACATAAATATCAAATAATGTGTGTTTTTAGAACGAATAACTGATAACTGATATTCTTTTTGGCCAATTTAGACAGCACTACCCTATAGGGCACTTTATTTTCCACTTTGGTACATTTAAACACACTATGTCATTATTAAAATATACAGATGTCATCGATGATCCCATCCTGGAGCAAGGAGCAGTGGTCCTCAGAGGGTAAGTCTATAATCATATTAATATATAACCATACTAATAATAATCTTTATTTATGCCGTGCTTTTCCAAACAAAGTTACAAAATGGTTGACACGTTGAACCTGGAATAAATGCAATCAATTATAATAAACTAAGAGGATGTAAATGTATATACGTGTGTATGACCTTTGGAGAATAGAATGGACCATACCAGTGTTTTTCATGCTTTACTCAGTTTGCTACAAATTACATTTTAACCATTCTCCAAAACAGTCCATACTTTACTGGACTGATGGAGGACCAAATCCACATCCTCATTCTGTGTGTATGTCATAGGTATGTGATTGAGCGTATAAACACAGAGGACCCTGATCGACATGTCTCCTCTGAGGATCTGGGAGGAAGGCCTAATGAACAACAGGATCCACATATCAAAGACGTGGTGGAACAACTGATCAAGATTGCAGACGAGCTGAACAGGAATGCTGAGCTCCAACGGTAAGCTGTACATCATGTACAAAAAGGGCAGCTGGAGTAGCCGACTGATGCAGGTTTTTCAATGGCCGATGGTGATATTTATAGACCAAGGTGATCAATGACCATTAAGTATTGTATATTTTCATTGCTCCATGCACATTACAATTGAATGTACTCGGTTGCCTTTGCTATTAATATATTGGGGTCACTTCAAAGTTTATCCAGCAGAGTGCACTGTGATTTCCAATACTGTGGCAACCAGCACAGAGTAAGAGAGAAGAAGCAGCTTCCCTCTAAAATCGGTATTGATCCCATATTGGTTGGTCTCTGTGTAAACCGTGTGCAACCAAACAGCACTAAGATAAGATAAGATAAGATAAGATAAGATAAGATGTACCTTTATTGATCCCCCGTAGGAGAAATTCAAGTTAGACACAGCAGCATAGGGCAATGTAGTGCAAAGATGACAGAAGTGTACAAGTACCATAAGAATCCCAAAATTAAAGCTGCAAGCAGCGATGGGCGGGACCTTGCACTCCACGCAACTCGTGGCGTGCTGTGGCCGCGTCACGTGCCGTTGTAACACGTGCGGGCCGCAACATGAAAATTTCACGTAAATCAGCTCAAAATCGCCACGCAGCGCTTACTTCCTGTTGCCAGTAGGTGCTGCTATCACTATGTCTGAATATTGTCACGTAGACGTGTTTAAGGCAGGACTGTTATCAAACACGTGAAGTTTCATTCAGATTGGACATTGTACACTGAAGTTATGAGTACTGTTTTATGGCAAATCGGCTGAATCCGACAAGTCGTCTCTGACACGTGGTTTGATGTACAGTCACAAATAGCTCAACTTTTCATCTAGTTTGTATGACCACAGAATTCAAAATGGCCAACTTTGACGGCACGCCACGGACACGCCCTTCAACGTACATGAACAAATAGCACAAATTTTGATCAGTTCAATTTAAGTTCAAATTAAATTAAATTTTATTTGTATAGCGCCAATTCATAACAGAAGTTATCTCAGGACACTTTTCAAATAGAGCAGGTCTAGACCGAACTCCTTATAACAATAACCGGAGCAACTTCATTCAATTCAATTTCAATTCAATGTGTGTTTCTGTGTATTTATAGGAGCACTTACAGTTGAGTAGGCGGTCCTTCAACATGGACACATTTGTGGACATACTGCTAAAAGAATGAGGCCACCTCTGAATGTGGTCTGAGCAATAGGATCTTAATTCAATTCAATTCAATTTAATTCAATTTGATTTAATTTGTATTGCGCCAATTCATAACAGAAGTTATCTCAGAACTCTTTATAACATTATTTACAGAGACCAAACAGTACCACCATGAGCAAGCACTTGGCGACGGGGGCAAGGAAAAACTGCCTGTTAAAAGGCAGAAACCTAGGACAGATCCTTCGGCTCTAGGTGGGTGGTTGTCTATCTCGACCAGTTGGGGTGAAAGATAGAGAGAGAGACAGAGACAGAAACAGAGACAGAGACAGACTGACAGCAACAGTATTGGTAATGGCAATCTAGCAGGACCATGGCAGGAGGCTCCACCAGGATCGACAAGAACCTGCGAGACGAGAAAGCACAAGAACTCCGGCGAAGAAGTGAAGTTAGTAACATGCATTAGTGGAACATGAATGAGTGCAGAAAGAGAGAGGAAGAGAGGAGCTCAGTGCACCATGGAAAATCCCCCCGATAGTCTAGGCCTATAGCAGCATAACTAAGGGATGGTTCAGGACTCACCTGATCCAGCCTTAACTATAAGCTTTATCAAAGAGGAATGTCTTAAGCCTACTCTTGAATGTGGTGAGGGTGTCTGCCTCCCGAACCACAACTGGAAGCTGGTTCCACAAGAGAGGAGCTTGGTAACTGAAGGCTCTGGCTCCTGTTCTACTTTTAGAGACTATAGGAACCACAAGTAGCCCAGCATTCAGAGAACGTAGTGTTCTAGAGGGGTAATAGGGTACTATGAGCTCTTTAAGATATGAAGGGGCCTGACCATGAAGAGCTTTATAGGTGAGGAGGAGGATTTTAAATTCAATTCTACATTTTACAGGGAGCCAATGCAGAGAAGCTAGTACAGGAGAGATGTGATCTCTTTTTCTAGTTCCTGTCAGTATCAGCAACATACTTTCACTAAATTCCCTAGGAGGAGGAGTTCAAATACGAAGTGAAAAATCACAGAAAATGAGCACGGAATTCAAAATGGCTGACTTTGATGCCACGCAGTGATTTACCATGCCACCAGAGCGCCACCTAGTGGCGGATTGTTGACACATTTTTTAGCGAGCCTCAGGGAGCCATGGGCAAGCATCGTACCAATTTTAATAATAATAATAATAATACATTTTATTTATAAGCGCATTTCTAAATACTCAAAGACACTTTACATAAAAAAAAACAACATAAAAGCAGCCAAACAAGATCAAATAGTAAAACATTAAAAACACATCAGACTTAGCTAAACATTAAAAGCAATTTTATAAAGGTGAGTTTTTGTCAGTGATTTGAATGTTGGAAGGTCGCTACAGTCACGGATGTGTTTGGGGAGAGAGTTCCAGAGGGAGGGGGCAGCTACAGAGAACGCTCTGTCGCCCCAGGTTCGGTGCTTGGTCCGGGGTGGAGGAGTCAGGAGGTTTGCTTCAGATGAGCGGAGGCTGCGGGATGGATTGTGGCAATGGAGCATTTTCATTTTAATCACACGTGCCGTTGCAGAGATATAAACTTCTTCATTTTAAAGAGCGCCACCTAGTGGTGATGGCCTGAAACTGTGCGAGATGCCTAAGGAAGACATGGGGAACTATCGACCCAAGCTTGGTGTCAATCAGACATACTAATGTGGAGAAATGGTCCACTTCCTTTTTTGACGAAAAATCTACAGGAAGTGCTAATTTTGTAACGTGCTTATTTTTTGAAATATCAAAATTATTAGAATTTTTTATTAGGACGGTCCCCAGATGCTACGTGAAATTTTTTGTTCGAAACGGACAAAGCGCATAGGGGGGGGACAAGGAAAAGTAGTTTATGAAAATTTCGCGCTCTAGCGAGAAAAATTATAGGCTGAAGTGGGCGTGGCCTATATTCGGAGATTCAGCTCTAATAAGACACAGTCCCTAATAAGAATATTACAAAATATAATAGAAAAGTATAGTTGTACTGTAGTTGGGCAAAGGTTTGTGCGTCATAGCTTGGAGTTTTAACCAGTCCTAGTCTGTGGGGGTTGGAGGTACTGGGTGCTGTGGCGTTGTGCAGTCTGATGGCTGATGGAACAAACAAACCTCCAAAACCGCTTTGAGGCTCAAGGCTGGATTGGTCTGTGGCTGAAAGTGCTCCTGAGCTGCTTTAGCTTAGTGTGGAGAGGATGAGAGGGGTTGTTCATGATGGCTTTCAGCTTCCCTCTCATCCTCTTCTCAGTCACAGCCTCCACACTGTCCAGCTCCATCCCCACCACTGAGCTAGCCTTCCTGACCAGCTTGCTCAGTTTGTTGGCACCCTGTGTCCCAATGCCACCTCCCCAGCACACCACAGCAAAGAAGATGACACAGGCCACTACTAGTAGAACATCCGTAGTAGTCGAGTGCACACGTTGAAGGACCTGAGCCTCCTTAGAAAGAACAGCCGGCTCTGTCCTTTCCTGTAGAGGGCCTCAGTGTGGTCCGTCCAGTCCAGTTTGTTGTTGAGAACTTAAAACCTGATGTAGTCTGTGACACAATGGGTGAGACGCTAATGTCGTCTCCGTGGTTTATTATGATGAATGCGCTGGGATGGCGTGTCTGCAGGTCCGCGACGGTGGAGTGGATGACGTCACAGACGTGCACCACTACTGCCGATGGAGGAATGTAAACAATGGCGGCCGAAAACTACCAGGGCAGATAGTATGGCTTTAACTTGATGAACAGCAGTTCAATATCAGGCTTGCAAATTTCTGCCATCGTGACAAATTGTCCTGGGTTAGACAGACAGCAAGACAGCAAGCCCTCCTCCCAACTTCTTACTGCTCTTTTTCTTCCTATCTGCCCGAACTATTGAAAAGCCAGCTAGTTCCACTGAGCAGTCTGGTGTATTCCCATTCAGCCATGTCTCAGTCAGGCATAACATGCTGCACTCCCGATACTGGCGTTGTCCGCTAACCAGGGCCAAGAGCTTATCCATCTTGTTTGTCAGTGAGTGTACATTCCCCATGATAACCGAGGGAAGACAGTGCTTGTACCACTACTTGTGATGCAAGACACATTTCAGAGAAACCTGAGAGTAAGTGAAATCAAGTCAAAGCATTTTAATCCGTTCATTTCTTCCTGTCAGACTGGTCAACCAGGTTCAGGACAATTGTGCTAAGGAAGTCTTCATGACGGTGGCCAGGAGCATCTTTGCTGATGGCATCAACTGGGGTCGAGTGGTGGCTCTCTTCCATCTGGCCTATAGACTCATATACAAGGTAAGACACATAGCAGTGCTTCTCAACAAGGCTGCAATTGGAGTTTTAAACTTGGCTACTATTTTTAAATTAACATGCAGATACTTAGTGTAGTGTATTATAATAAGATATATATATATATATTTTTTTTTTATTTCTTACACCCCTAATATCACTGTTGTCCAAGCTGTTATGATGTGTTGAGAGCACACAGGTAAGCTAGCCACGTGGTCACAAGAGACCAGTAAACTTAAAAAGTTTTTTGTTTTTGTTTTAAAGGCACTGACCAGCAACCATCTAGAGAACATCAGAACCGTCATCAGCTGGGTTCTCCAGATCATCAGAGAGAAGATCTACTCCTGGATCATACAGCAGGGAGGCTGGGTGAGTCATTGTCCATAAAGATCTGTCATATTATTATTAATTGAAATGTTGCTGTAAGGTTTTATGGTACTGTGTATGGACCAGTCAGTAAGATCCAAAAGTTCTTTATCCTGCTCTCTTGATGTTTCTAGGAAGGGGTGATCCATGGTTTTTCTCGGTGGAGGACAGTAGCCATAGTAGCATCAGTAGTATTGGTAGCATCTATTGTTTACTACAGGAAGACTCGCTGAGACATCAGACCTTACAACCAGGGCTGCAGTCCCATCTCCTGGATAACCACAGCTTCTTAATAAAGACAGTTTCCGGCCATTAATTACAACCTTTCCTCAACCTCCGGGTCCTCAACCAGAGGAGGACATCTACTGAACTTGGTAACTAACTGCTGTTAGCTTCTTTTTCCAAGAACAAAAAAATGCATTTACAACTGGCTCTCCACCAGGCATCTCCATCATCTGACACCAGCAACTATTCAGTGCCTCCCATGGAAATACAAGTGCTGCTGCAACACAATCTTGTACAGCAGTCTGTCAGCAGATGAGGCCATTTATGAACATGGGACGTAGCTATAGAGGACCTGCCATATCAGAACCAGGTCTCGGGTCCACATAGGTTCTGTGTGGGGTCCAATTTAAATTTCTCCAGGTCTTGTGTAAGCAAAATTTCAATTATAACTGAAAGGACACGAAAAGAGCCAGCCAATCAATATTCAACAATCTGATTGTCAGATGTACTGTAGCTCCATAATGTTAATTTGTTCTGAACGTTTTAGTAATCTTGTATTTCAGCCATGTTGTCTGTTGAGTTAAGCAGGCCTGTGCCTGTTTTTAGATGTTTGCATGGCTACAACAGAGGGATCTAAAATGCTCTACACCATCTTGAAGCACATTAGTGTGAACCATTTTTGAGGACATTTTTAGTCCATCTCAGGTCCAGGTAGATAATCAAGATAGACACAACCCCTTTTCAGATCAGATACACATTTTTACACTTGTGATAACCTTTACTTAGCAGCACCTTAAAGCTTCAGTAGATCATTATTATCAAAATATATTTTTTGTAATTTGCTATACCCTGACAGAAGTACATGTGACAGATAATCTTTGAAAAAATTAGGCTTCTCTGGCTCATTCTAGTGCTCCTAAAGGTATTAGCAACAACCAATCAGAGGAGAGAAAGATAGGTAATTGTTGAGTCTTATTATCAGGGAGTCAAATACAGATGCTTTTGGACCCTGGTAATAGACTCAACAATAAACTTAAAGCCTCCAACCCAAAGCCTTGTTCTATCTCTCTTGGCTCTGATTTATTGTTTCAGTCAGACGCAGTGAATTCTTGCTTTTAGGAGTGCTAGAATGAACCAGAGGAGCCAGATTTTTTTCACACATTATCTGTCTCATGTACTACTGTGAGGATATAGTGAAGGTTCTGCAAACATGACAAAAAGTTATTTTTAGAAAAGTTACCTTCTGGAGCTTTAATGATTCTGATGAAAACACACAGATATCCTGGCTAATGTGATGATACCATAGCTTTATATTATGGCCAAAGCACAGCGGAAAGTGTAAAGCTTGAGCTACAGTTCACAAGAGTTTAATCTCATATTGTTTTTTTTTTTGTTTTTTTTTTACCAAAATACATTGAGTTGAGTTATTGTTGACTCGCTTTTACATACACAGTCATTTACTTTTGACTTTCACTTAACTTAATTTAATTTAACCAACCAGATGATATAAATGAACCATATAACGGAGTAATACTACTTAAGCCAGTAGATGCAAACGGCATAAACCAGTCCTGTAGCCACTGTGGTTGGGAACAAGCACATGGCTTGAAGCCTGGTAAGATGGATTCTCACGTGATCATGAAAGGAACTGGATGCAGCTCCCTAGAAACTGCTGTTAGCCTTGCTTTGCAGGTTTTATGGCCCACCATCAACATACTATGTCATGCTGCAGTCTGACCACAGAAACAAAAAGATGTCAACACCAAATACATAATAAGGAGAGGCAAAGGCAACAGAACAAACAGAAACGGTAACCTACTGATGATAAACAACTGTTTGTCTAAAGGTTGTTCTGTTGTTCTGTAACATTCCTTTCGTTATTTGACAACTGAAAGAGAAGGAAGAAGAGACTTTGTCTTTCTTTTCCATGTGTCTTCCACTGAATGGTAATATGTTAGACAACTAATGCTAATGTGGATGAAAACAAAAAAATGTTTTTTCCCTATTTTTTTTCATTTTGGTTACTGTGTGCAGTATTTGAACTTCATTCCCACTTCCACAGATTTTAATGGTGAGCAGTTGGTGGTAGATTTCAAACCTGTAAAACCTCTGAGACTGTGCAAAAAAGCTATTTATCTCCTTTTAGTTTTGAGAATTATAATAATCTCTTAAGGTTCTTAAAGTAAATGCATGAGGAGAAGGACCAGACTTTCAGGGTACAAGAAATTGTCCTCTACAACTCTCTGGGAAAACTGGTTCATAGATAAGAAAGTAATTGTTTAATCTAAAGCTGATTACGATGTGTGCGGGTCAGAATGACTCATGGGAACATTCAGTGACTTATAGCTGACCTATAAGGGCTGTTATCTAGTGCCACATGAGCTTTTGTCAAGTATTTTTGATACCCAATTGATCTTGCACTTTTAAAAGGGATATCACACTATTTATCTACTGTTCTGCGGGTTTTTTTACACTGTGATCTGATGTATATTTTATTGTTATAAAAATGATCTGATTGGACTTTTCATTTCTGTGAATAAATTAAAAATGTGTTATAGCACCCATCGCTCCCTGTGTGAATGTTCTGACTCATTTAAGTCATGGGATATCTATTATAAGTAGCTAGGACTTCAGCTAAGAGTTCATTTATGTATCAACATGGCAGTGGTGTCAGTAGAGGGAAAACCTCCCAGGCAGATACTGATCAAGGTATTTGTTTAAGGTATTTCTCTGTCAAAATGATAGAACTGACATGGCTGTATTTGCCTTCCTGTCCCTGTTTTCACATTTTAACACAACAGAGTTTGCAAACCTGCAGTCGCTAATCTTTGTCTTTCTTGTGAAATATTTTAGATTCATCATATGTTCTGCTGTGGGGGAAAGGTGGTGGAGTGGAAGTATAAAATGGAACCAGTTAAAATGATATATTACCCAGAACTGTGTGAACACTGTCTACTCATATTATAGTGTCTGAACTAAACTGTGTAATAACCAGAGGAAACCATTATGTCTGAGTGTGTATCAGACATCTACAACAACTGTATTTATCTGGTTCAGTTAGTAAAAGTTATGAGTTCACTAAATAAACAATAGATTTATTGGCAGACTCCTTACAAGACCTGATATTTAAAACCAGCAAAACCGGTAACTAACTGGGACCTAAGTGGTGGGATTTCTCTCTCTCTCTCTCTCTCTCTCTCTCTCTTTCCCTCCCTCACCCCAACTAGTTGAGGCAGACAACCACCCACCTAGAGCCAAAGGATCTGTCCAAGGTTTCTGCCTCTGCCAAACAGGCAGTTTTTCCTTGCCCCTGTCGCCAAGTGCTTGCTCATGGTGGTACTGTTGGGTCTCTGTAAATAATGTTTTAAAGAGTTCGGTCTAGACCTGCTCTATTTTGAAAAGTATACTGAGATAACTTCTGTTATGAATTGGCGCTATACAAATAAAATTGAATTGAATTGAAATTTGGTGCTACTTGGCAGTAACATTGAGTACAGTAGTAGTGGGGTCTGAGGATGTCAGCTCCACAGGTCTCAAGAAAAAAAGGTGGCTGATGTCGTCCCCCTTTTTGCTGAACCATATGACTTTTCCTTTAGCACCACCAAATATTCCCCTTGTACTCTGGAAATATAATTGAAATAAATAAATATCACTGTTATAGACATGATGGACTACATCAACCCGGTCCTACTCTGATCTTGGTCAGTTTTGGAGCCCCTCTCTAGCACCACCCTCAGGACAAAAGCTCAACTCTGCACTTAAGATACTGCTCTCATGATGATAATCTGCTCTCATGCTCCTCTGGGGACAAACATTTAACTCTTGTTTCCAGGAGTGTAATTATTGAATGCAGTATTTGCACATATTCTGAAGCTGATGTTGAATGGTTGGAACGTTTTATGTTTTATTTTATTCATCAGCTTTCTGGAACAATCTGCACTCTATTACTTGTTACTGTGTTGCACTATCAACACAAATGTACATTATTTCATGTTGTACATTTTTTATTAATATGTTATTCTAGTTTTATTTGCTTATTACTCTACTTATTTAATATGAATGTTAATTGTGTTTTTTTTCTGTATATCAGTCACAGTTGTGTAATTGGTGTTTAGTCTTTAGGGGTCACCAGGAGAGTCTAAGGGAGACATCCATTGTTACAAGAAATTACCACCAGTGTTGGGCTAGTTACTCATTCATTTATTACTCATTACTTGTTACTCTTTTCAAAAGTACTATTATTACTTTACTCATTACTCCCTGCCAACAGTAATTAGTTACACTACTAGTAATATTATTTTTCTACTACTCCCACAAAATTGGTAAATGTGTTGTTTCTTCCTGAAATTCAGACTTACTTGTTTGTTAAATTTAAAGTAATATTATTACTGTAATGTATTTGTATGTAGTTCCTCTACTAGTTAGTGTGGAAAGTAATATTATTGTAATATTATCATTCTGCAAAAGGATTTCTTTAGACTTGACTGTTTCTCGGTGTCCCTGTGGCTTTGGGGTTAACTGTCCGACTCTGACAGCCATAAACTGCAACATCAAAAAATATGAAAGAAAAACAAATGCATATAATCTGATATAAATGTTAAAAATTCTGCATTTATTTTTAAAATTATAGAACTATTTTCATCTTAACAATCAAAAATCACAAACAGTGACCCTGCTTGGAATGCTTTATTATAATAACTCTTTCCAAAATGTACATGAACACATACAGTAAAATGCAGAGGTACGTTCAATAAAGCATACAACATATTCACATTGAAACTGCTGGACATTTAAACAACCAAATACATACTGCAAGAAGACAGTAGGTAGCAAAGTTACTGAGGCAATACACTCTGAGATTCTTATTGTGTTCAAAGCACTTTTGGAAATACTGTTCTAAAAAGAAAGACTGTATTAACTTGGACGTATTATGCTAATTTCTAGCTCTATAGTTCAAAAACATCCTTATTTCTCTTATACTGGCCCTTCATACAGCCCATCAGTTCATCCTCTGTCTAACCTCAAGCCATTTTAGGTCCAGTCTCTTTAAGGTCACCCTCTCTAAGAGTCAACTTTCTTCTGATTGGCTCATTTTCCGGAAGCCTGCTGAGGGGTAGCAACTATCATCATCATCATAATTATTAGTAATTTCTACTAGTGTAGTTGCTGTTATTGCTGTTGCTGTACACCCTTGCCTCTGTCTGTGTCCTCTCTTTACCACACAGTGACATCATTTTATCTCCATTCAAGTTAGCAAATGGCTAAACTGGAAGTTAGGGCTAAACTGGAAGTTAATGGCTTGGGAGGTGGATGTCTAGTGTATCTGCTCTATGGGCCATATGATGCAGAAGCATATGAAGAAGATCTGGGTAGTTTGTCATGCGTCCCTGAGCAGCTTTCATATGTAGGAATGACTGAAGCCCGCCGCCAACACTCAATCCAGTTCTTTTTAATCTACTTCTACTTCTACTGAAAAGCTCTTTCTGCAAGACATACTAAACAACCTCTATGTTTACTTCATTATTTGAAACTTTGGCCACGTTTAATATGAACAGTAACTGTAATTGCAGCACAAGGGAAAGCATAATTGGTCGCTTTTAAATGACAAGCAATCATAATAGACAACATATCTGGTCACATTTTTAGTGCTCTTTCTGTGGCGCTGCACTTACTCGATTCAAACAGTGTGACTAATTTTGTGCCATTCTTTTCCTTTTTCCAGTTTCTATAGGTGCTGCTCTTGGTTCATCTATGGTTACTGATGCTGTCACCTTATCTTATCCCAAATAAACCAGAATGTCAAACACGCCACTCCTTGTTTGTTCAGTAAATGTAAAAGTTGTTACTGAAAATGACAAGATGGAACACTAAACTCAGTACAGGTGTCATTCTCCACTCTGTAGGACACTGCACTAATATTCTGTACTATCATGTCTGACAGGACAGTGCTGGAAGGATGTCACAACAACCTTTCCGGGTGCTGGCTGGCTGGAAATGCAGTCAGTCCCTGGTTCTACAACATACAGGGAGGAGTGCACGGTTTCAGGCCTCAGACAAAGCAGGACACTCTGGTGTCCCAAAGCCACTGTCTCATCTCTTGTGGAAGCTGGGACTGTGAATGATTTGAGAGAGTTTTCCAAACGAGTCCACTGCGTCCACAGGTTCCTCTGTTTGGGCTGTGCTCTGTCCCGGCTGGTCAGGGACATCCAGTGCAGGGTACGAAGCCTGATCCAAGGTGCTGATCCTGGGGAGAAACTGGGCCAGAGCTGGGACTCCTCTGTCTCGACCCTGCAGTCTCTGCCGGTGGTTTCCCAGACTAAGCAGGGCTCCGTGTCTGTCAGAGACATAGATGTTGTACCCGTCAGGCAAAATCTGCTCTCTGAAGGTGCAGTCATCTCTGCTGTAGGTGTACTGGAAGTGATGGGATATAAAATGTTAATGTTCTTTACATACTGTTTGAGATAGCATTATATCTTAAGTGATTCGTCTTCGTCAAGATTGGATTACCAACCAAACAAAGCATGAAAATGGCCCCAAAAAGACCCAGTTACACTTGTTACAAATTACTTTATATGGTACTACAGTATCATGTTTTTTTTATCTGCTAGCAGCAGACTTTCACCTTTCTATTTTAGTAAATTGGGTCAGTTTGTGGACTTACTTACGTTACATGAGCTTGCTTTAACAATGGGGCAGAAATCAGGTAAATCCTTGTTTACCTTATTAGCTATTAGCTCTTTGGGAATGTATGTGAAAAATCATGTGATCACTAAATTGCTGCTCTTAAAGCTTTCTGCTACACTTATACTTTAAGTTACTTATTAAGGTGATTGCTAGAGGTTTGATAAATACATGTCCTGTTCTTGAGTCCCTACATTTGACGAGTATGAAGCAATTGATTAATCAACTTAAAATTATTATTTTTTACAATATATTGATGATATATGAAATGATGAGCCATTCAAGTTAGAAAGTAGCTCAGACAGCAGTATTAATCTTAAATTAGAATTGTAGTTTCCATTAGGGTTGCATGAATGGTGTTTTTAGATAGAAGGCCCCTTTTATCAAAAAAAACATACGTAAACGGTGCTGCAAGTTCTTCGAACGCTGTTTACTTTGGCCAAAGGGAGCCAGCCAGAGGCCAAGGTTGTTGTTGCTGCTGCTGGGTCTTTTCATTCAGATTTTTCACTTTGCAAACACATCCTACCCTGCACCACACCGTACAAAGGTTAATGAACCGCTCGTCTGTTTGAATGAATGCCTGCCTGGCATGCAGTGTTTTCTGAACGTGGAAGCTGATTAACAACATATGCAAAAACCTGAGACAATGTTTTTAATGAAATTGACTGTCTCTGCTACATTACAAAGTTTTGCAAAGGTGCAATTTGTCAAAAGATAACCACTGTTTGCTGTTTTAATAGTTAACAGTGAGCAATAAGCAGTAACAAGGTGAGATTCATGTTTATTTTTGACATACTGTATGAGAAGTCCAGGTGTAACAGTAGTTTATCTATGTATGTATGGAACTCAAAACAGCCAATGTTGATGAAAGAAACGAGAAAAAGGCTAAAAAAAATATATATATATATATTAACTGCAGCAAGTATAAGCTGCAGTAGGTAACTTTTCTAAAAATAAGTTATATTTTACTCATATTTGCTTAAACTTTCACTTTATCCTGACGGTAGCACGAGACAGATAATCTGTGGAAAAAATAGTTTCCTAATAGCATTTGCCAGAATCCACCGGGCCTGAAAGAAAACAACCAATCGGAGCCAGAAAAGACACTTTGGGTTAGTGGCTTGAAAGTTGATTGTTGTTGTTCATTCCCAATGTCGGTTTTTAACAACCTGGGAATGAGACTAAATAATCAATTATTTCTTGAAAGTTTCAGCAAACATGACAGAAAGTTATTTTTATATATTTTAATATGACAGGCAGTTACCTACTGTAGCTTTAAGTGAAGATTTGAATTCGGAGCACTGAGAGGAGATGAAATGTCCGTTGAAAAATTAGATATTAAAGCAGCTGAACTTATACTATTACGTATAAAAACCTCCAAAAAAGGCCACAGGACTCTCACTGTTACAGCCATGTCCAAGCCGCTCAATCAGCTTCTTCTGCAGAGCTGGTCACATTAAACCTAATGTGTTAATTCAGCTGCTAAACACTCAAATACTAAATATACAATATAAGATTTGTTTTTACAACAACAACTAACATCCTTATCTAGACATACGGAGTGAACCGCATGACACACTGTTGAGCAAGGTCATGTTCCAAGGATGGATTTGTAGTTTTATGTTGTTGCTATGTCAATGTGAATTCTGAATGAAGTTCCAGTTTAACTTTAGTGTCTGTACCTTATAAAGCCTTCTAGCTCCTATTACCTGTAGTGCAAAAACAATGGCAGAATAATTATCAGCTAGTATGCTGCTGTGGTAAATAAATCAAAGTAAAGACCAGCAGTCCAAGGCCATAACCATGAAGTCAACACTGGGGGGGGGGTCTGTGGTCCCCCGGTAGATTCATAAAATGATCATTTTAATTGATCATAATGCTTTTCAAAAATCCCAGTGATATGTACTGAGCCCCTAAAGGCACATGGGGAAAAAAAATTTAAAAAAATGAAACTTTCTAGTGCACTAGATATGGATCTCCTGTTGTGGGGAATCAACACATGGCTCATTTGAATATTAAAATTAGCCATGTGTTGGGATCTAGTGCACAAGATAGTATCTAGTGCTCACTAGAAACGTTGTCCTATGTAACATTCATATTACATTCTACACTGTAAAATTTGATGAGTTAGTTCAATTCAAACTGTTGAGGAAACCAATTACTTTAAACAATTCAAATTGATTAATTTCAACAATTTGAGCATGAAAAAAAACATTTGATTTGAATACTGAATAGATTGAATTGAATTGAATACAAGTAACTCAATTAAGGTCATTTTACTTAAAAGTAGTAAGCATATTACAATCCTATGCAGCATTTCTCCAAACTTATTAAAAATGTGTTAACAGAATTTATCTGATTAAGTAACTTAAATGCATCCTGTTTATATAAATGTTGCCACTTTTTTGTAATGATTATACTCAATTAAAAGAAAATGAGTCAATGGAATAAACTGGAATTATATCACCAATACTTAAAATACTGTTACATATACTACAACAATTAAATGTTGGGTTTAATTCATGGGAATGAGTGACTCAAAATGTTTTGAGGTTTAAGTTATGCCAGCTTACTTCTTTTGTTAGGATTTACGGTGTAGTTTTCTTCTTTTTAATACTTTATGACTGCATGAAAGTAATGAAATAGAGACAGTACAGTGTTTGACAGCGATTGTATAACTCACAGCATCTGAGAAACGGCTTTCGCTGAGTATGGCAACACCACTTGGACAAACCAAACACAGAACTACAGTGCACCGTAATACTAGAACTGGTATAAATAATAATAATTCAATATCAGATTACTTAAAAATATAGATTATTACCAAGATTACAATTTTAAAATACATTTTAAAATAAAGAAGGATATACTACCTAGCACATGTGCAGTGCGCACACATGACCACACTTAACCCATAGTCCCATAACAGCACTCTGGTCTCACTGGAACCATAAATCTTATAGTTAAAGCTTTAACTGGGTGGAAATTTCACCATTATTTTTCTTTAAAGCAGAAAATAAGAACAACATCACAGTACAGTGCTGTTCTCCAGCTGTGAGAATAGGCCTCCAAACTTGCACATTCCCTGGAGAATATTTTGCACATTACTGCACAAACTGTACAGCTCTTCATTATTTTATTTGAATAACCTTCATATTGTCTTTTTTTTATATTTGTATATATTATTTGTCTTTATTTGATCTTTATTTATATTGTTACACACCATTCAACCAAGGCAAATTCCTCTTATGTGAAAACCAACTTCTTCTGATTCTGAATGAGCTTCATGAAAATCAACTTTTTCTTTAAAAACACACTGAGCAGAGGACACATTTCTGATGCTAAAAATCATATTTTTATAAAGGTTACATGGTTCTGTTGTCAGTCATATTATTTACACTGCCGTTCAAAAGTTTGGGGTCGTCCAGACAATTTCATGTTTTCCATGAAAATTCACACTTTTATTCATCAAATGAGTTGCAAAATGAATAGAAAATATAGTCAAGACATTGAAATAATAATTTTGTCCTTCAAACTTTGCTTTCGTCAAAGAATTCTCCATTTTCAGCAATTACAGCATTCTAGCTGTCAATTTGTTGAGGTAATCTGAAGAAATTTCACCCCACGCTTCCTGAAGCACCGCCCACAAGCTGGATTGGCTTTATGGGCGCTTCTTACGTACCATACGGTCAAGCTGCTCCCACAACAGCTCAATAGGGTTGAGATCTGGTGACTGCGTTGGCCACTCCATTACAGACAGAATATCAGCTGACTGCTTCTTCCCTAAATAGTTCTTGCATAGTTTGGAGGTGTGCTTTTGGTCATTGTCCTGTTGTATGAGGAAATTGGCTCCAGTCAAGCGCTGTCCACAGGGTATGGCATGGCGTTGCAAAATGGAGTGATAGCCTTCCTTATTCAAAATCCCTTTTACCTTGTACAAATCTCCCACTTTACCAGCACCAAAGCAGCCCCAGACCATCACATTACCTCCACCATGCTTGACAGATGGCGTCAGGCACTCCTCCAGCATCTGTTCACTGGTTCTGCGTCTCAAAAATGTTCTTCTGTGTGATCCAAACACCTCAAACTTAGATTTGTCTGTCCATAACACTTTTTTCCAATCTTCCTCTGTCCAATGTCTGTGTTCTTTTGCCCATCTTAATCTTTTCCTTTTATTGGCCAGTCTCAGATATGGCTTTTTCTTTGCCACTCTGCCTAGAAGGCCAGCATCCCAAAGCCGTCATTCTATTCTGGTTAGAGTTTGTGCTGTTCTCTGAAGGGAGTAGTACACACCGTTGTAGGAAATCTTCAGTGTCTTGGCAATTTCTCACATGGAATAGCCTTCATTTCTCAGAACAAGAATAGACTGTCGAGTTTCAGATGAAAATTCTCTTTTTTTGGCCATTTTAAAAGTATAATGGAACCCACAAATGCTGATGCTCCAGATACTCATCTAGCTCAAAGGAAGGCCACTTACAGCTTCTCTAATGAGCACAACAGTTTTCAGCTGTGCTAACATAATTGCACAAAGGTTTTGTAATCATCAATTAGCCTTTTAACATGATTAGCTAACACAATGTACCATTAGAACACAGGAGTGATGGTTGCTGGAAATGGGCCTCTGTACACCTATGTATATATTCCATTAAAAATCAGTCGTTTCCAGCTAGAATAGTCATTTACCACATTAACAATGTCTAGACTGTATTTCTGATTAATTTAATGTTATCTTCATTGAAAAAAACAATGCTTTTCTTTCAAAAATAAGGACATTTCTAAGTGACCCCAAACTTTTGAACGGTAGTGTATATTTCTCAATATCTTTATTAGTGTATATATATATAAAAAAAGAACAGCATCATACAATTGAATGACAACATCTGAACCATCTGAACACTCGCAACAGTTTTATTTGAACAACAACAGTGAACTTTCAAGTCACTCTTTCCAGCATGTTTCAACTAAATTTCAAGTAAATTATTATTTTCAAGACAGAACACGAAGGGAGGGCGCCAATGGGCATCGAAAATTATTATTGTTTTTTTTTTTTTTCTCCCTCTAGGGTGACTGGCGGCGCCCCTCCAGCAGATGGCGTTCTAGGCGACCGACTATATCGCCTATGCCCTGCCTGAGATAACTTCTGTTTTGAATTGGCACTATACAAATAAAATTGAATTGAATTGAATTGGTTATTTTGGAAGGCGGGGTGGGGTCATAACATAGACATTTGTATTTTATATCTTTGATAACAATGTATTGGGGAGTAAAATGTTTGTGGCCCTAATGCTCTTTATTTTTTTAATTATTTTTACCTTACTTGACATTTAAGTACTACCCTGACGCATAATAGTTAAACTAATGAATTGCTTTTGCATAAATAATAACTTTTGCCACTTATTTGCACGTCAGATGTAGAAATGAGCAGACAGTAGGTTGTCACCTTACCGATGAGTACAGTCTTCCGTCGCCTTCCATGCAAAGATAGCGTGCGGTTGCTGTACCTCTGATGACAACACAGCCTGGATCCACGGGACGGATCTCCAGCAGGCCTGCAGTTCAAATGTTCATCAGAATGAAAATCCCACCATGCCATCTCCACTCATCAGTGTGATTTACCAACCAGCATCACAGTTTGCAGCTTTTTAAGTCTGTGTTTTAAAATGCTTGACTTACTGTACAGTGTTTGGTCCACAGAGCCATGGATCTGTCCATCCCTACTGATCAGCAAGTGCAGTCCTGGTCTGGCGGCGTAAAGATGCCTGAACCGGATGACCTGGCCCCAGCCATTGGCTATGTGGGGTCCCTGGTTTGGTAGTGGCATGCAAACAACTCCAGCAGAAAACAGCATATTGGCAACGGATACAGAGACCAGGAGCAGTAGCATGATTTGTTAAATCCCCTGTGGACTCTTTGTTGCTGCTCCCTCTAGTTGGCAGTGTGAAGTAATGTAGCCTCATCCCTAACTCAGCCTTTTAAATGTGGCCCTTATCAGCTGCAGATAACCCCCTTTCCAAAATCCAGTTCCCAGAAGCAGACCACAACACACCCCTGCACGACATCCAACTGAATCATTGCTCTCTGTTGGCCCCAGACAAGCCCAGACCTTATCGAGCTGTCGTGTATGTACGAACTTGTGATGAACTTCATTCAAAACTCTTGCAATGGTGTTGAATAACATTCACTTCATCAAACTCATGGCTTTTTCTAAAGTGGCAGCAAATTTGGCATTGTTTCTCTTAAAAGTAGTCTACACCAATTTCAAACTCAGAAACCTAAATGATTAGAATTTTAATACTTAGTAAATCATTTGCATCCCGAATGTACCAGAAGACACTAATGATTTAATCAAGGTCATAACCATGTATAGTTGTTGCTTTTTTGGTGAATAAGTGATGAAACCTACACTTCTATATTTTTGGAATGGAGTTTGGCATAAACTCTCTGTTTGGGACATGACTTGTCTGGGAGCTGCCATTGCTGCTCCAGGGGGCTCCATAGAACAGTGGCCTCAAGGACACCTCCATGGCGTGAACCCTCTGGGATACCAATACCTACACACAGCACGTACAGTCAATAGGCCAAGACCTTCATAGGTCATCCATCAATCAATAAGAGCAGGAACAATATTTTCACAAGAAAATATTATATATTTTACATATAAAACATGATGAGCTCATAAAATATGTTGCACATCAGATCTACCTCAACCTAGCTACGATAAACAGCTCACACATTAATGCATTAGTATAATAATATGACCTATTATTTATTCACCCATGTATTGCCAAAGAACCCCTCCATACATGTAATAAGACATTTATACAAATATATATATATATGTGTCTGATGTTTCTTATGCAAACAAAATATAATTTCCACATTAAAATCCTTCTACCTCATTTAACATTCCAGAATCTCTGAATATGCAAATATTGTTTATTTCTAAAGTTTTGCTGCTGGACACAAGATGTCTCCTACTTCACTGTAAAGTTCATTCTCAGTGGATGTGCACTGGTGGCTTCAGGTTTCTACACCACACTGTACAAGTTGCAGATTTCCAATGAGCACAGAAACACTTTCCATTTTCAGCAGATGAATGTGAAAACATCCTTCTAGAGCCAAACTCTGCATATACAGCATTCAAACAGCACACTGTAGGAACAAGAATCGTTTACTGGAGGGGACTACAATATTTTTTGTATATAACATTTGCTTTTGTGAGTATAGCATAAAACTAAAATGATACATAAATCTTCCTTGTACCTTGAAATACTTTTCACATTTTTCACATTAATATTTACTTACTTTTACTACAGTAACATTTTCACTGAAGGTCTTTTACTAAACATGTGTTATACATGTAATTTTACTTCAGTATAAGTCTGACTACAGTATAGTTATAGTAGCCACAGGTGAAAAGTACAGATATCTGTACTACTAGTATTTACTTTTAGTTTTACCCCCTACATTTTTACACAAATATATGTACTTTTTATTCCTTACATTTTTAGAACACGTTTCCCTTTATTTTTCTGTATTTGAGGGGAATTATCTTCTTTTTTTATTATTTGGCATTACTACACACCTTCCCAACATCAAGACAGGTGTATCAAGAGGAAACTGACGAGAGGGAGACTTAGCCCTGTTTGAAGTTTCAGTTATCTTTATACAGAAACAGCTGGTAGAAAAGTCCTTCAGAGAAACCAGAGAGAAATCAGTACTTTTTACTTTTAAAGTTCATTTCAGAGCCTGTTCTTTTTCACTTTTACTTGAGTAAACAATCAGGACTTCTTTTTCTACTTTTCTTTTTTACACGAGCATCTGTACTTCTACTTGAACTACTTTTGCTACCTCTGGCAGCAGCAGTAGTATTAATAGAGTTAGTGGTAGTAGTAGTAGCAGTAAAAGTAAGAACTAAGATTAATATTGTTTGGGTTGTCTGGCAGTAAACCTCATGCCTATAGACTGCATGTGTTTTATACTGATGATCATGTTGCAAAATTATGTTACATAAAGTGCTTTCAAATGTACTTAGTGTGAAATTGCACATTTTTTATTTGTGGATAGGGTAAAGTCTAAGCATTGGTCTGAATCCAAGCAGAGCTGTGAGATTGGGTCACTCCACACTAAAATGACAGACTTCTTTCCGCTCTTATCACATTCTGGCCTTTGCTTCCGCTGCTCGACCTTGCATTTATATACAAGCGGGTTAAAGTGTAATGGAGAGCAAACATCACCATTCACCAAAAAACATCCCGAGACCCAGACTTTAAAAGCTTATTGTTGGTAAGTTCTTAGATTTGTAAACTGATCTCCTCTGAGGGAAGGTGATGTTACTGTGTGCTGTGGCACTTTGACATCTGTTTTGTCTTTACAACTTCCATCACAAGATGGCAGCCTAGAATACTGATTATCTTTTCAAACAAGATTTTCTCAAGCACAGCAGAAAATGAAATTAACAGAAATATAAGACATGGAGCCGGAAAGACAAAACATAACCAATACACCGCCACAGTGACACTCTTACAGCATGGACGCAGTGAAAAGGTAACAAGTGCAGAGGACGGAGGTGGAAGAGGAGAATTAAATGCCAAAAGAAGAAAGAGAGGAGAAAGGAGTAATCAGAAGACAGTCAGTGATGGTGCAGATCAAGATGGGAAAATAAAATAATAAGAAGGAAGTGACTTTATTGATTGATTATGACATATTAACAACTTAGAAATAAGGTAGGGCAGTTGGTAATTACTGTTCAGTTAAACAATGACACCAACACTAGCACATTATCGTACTGATATTGGATCCCCAGGACCAGGGAAGAAGCAAAGGGGTGGCCTCTGGGGCTCCAGCCCCGAATGTTTTCTTAAAAGCCCTGACTCTTTTATTTTGAAATAACTTCAACTTTGTGTCATTTCTCCTCAAGCCTCGTCCACACTGCCTCTCTCCAGTGTGTGGCAGAATGTTTTGCTTTTTATTTTGGTGCCCTTATTAACACATTAGAGCAGTTACACTTCCCACCTGAGTCGTGCATCTCAGGTGTGGCTGCAGCAACACTTCACTAGAGAGTCAAGGTCTCGCCTATTTTTTTCCATGAGCAAAAAACAGTGAAAATAATAATTAATTCATATTCATAATCATAACGACATTATACCACCAACATATACACCTTTCACTACAGTTTAAAAGTCTACACTGTGTCCTATGTCACAGACATGGAAATCCATTCATATGTTAACATGGCTTTTATTGTATTCTATTTATTAAAGGCAAGCTCGGGTTAAAAAGATAGGGCGGCAGCAGCAGTTCTGCAGCAGAAATGCTCTCTATGTGGTTACGACAGGCGTGCGAGCAGCTGCAGTTCAGCAACGCAGCTGACACGCAAACTCAGGCATCCTATGCCGACCACACTTCAGTCTGATTGAACCACAAAATCAATGGAGCAAAAGTTATATTACTGGAGAAATATTGCAATGTTAAATAAGCCAATGAGTTGTGAGAGTATAAAAGGTTAAAAGAACAACTTGACTTAAATTTATCTACAGTCGTAAAAATTATCTAATAGTCACAGTCTCTGTACAGTAATATCTTATTACAATGCACTGGAGGCATGAAATACTCTTTCTGAAATGCTACCAAGCTGTTTGTGAAGACTTGTTTACTTGGTTACAGGCTCTGCAGTCCAGCTGATGAAATGAGCCTCACACAGCAGACTGCTACAGCGTGGGCTGACTTGCTGACATTTGAGAAGCATTGCAGCCTTGTAATGTTGATGATACTGTTTGTGTCAGAGCTGGCCTGCACTGCTTGTTGGCTGAAACAAACTTTAACAGGATGATATCATGCTGCAAAAGAGGGCTTTTTTGAAAATCGGTATATCAAAACTTAAATTTTATCAAATTGTAATAGAACAAAACCTCTATGACCATAACCATGTGGACCATAAACATTTTTATTTAACTTGTTCTATAAACACAGACAGTGATATGTTGTATCCATTAGTAAAGTCAGTGTAATCCTCTCAAAATAAGCCATGACCAGAATGGCTCAATTTACACTTTCTCCAACAGAGGGCAGTGCTTATTCAAAGAAAACAGGTGTACTGCACCACAGAGAGGGGGACACAAGCAGTGGTGTTGAGGTTTCCAAATGTTTTCCTTAATCTGATTCATAAGTAAAAAACAAGAAGACATTTTTTGTAATTTGGTTTTTCTGTGTTGGTGTGTTGTATGTGTCTGTGTTGTATGTTTATGTCTGTCAACAACAAAACTAGGTGCACAGACGTGAAAACAATAGATAGCTAACAATGCTAGCAACAAACTGAAGCGTTAAATGGTAAATGGACTGTACTTATATAGCGCCTTTCTGGTCTTCTAACCACTACACTAGTGCTGTACCCTACATGCCACACTCACACTCATACAGTGATGACAAAGGCCATCACAAACAGAAACTAACTCATTCATACACATTCACACACCGATGCACAGCATCAGAAGCAATTTGGGGTTCAGTATCTTGCTCAAGGACACAACCCGCTCTACGTCCTGAGCCACACCCGCCCCTGTTTATTTAGTTTGGCTAAAAATAACATGTTAAAAAATGGACAAAGATCTGTTATGTTCAGATTTTGTACTAGACTTAAAACATGTATTTGGAAAAATGTTGGAAATAAAACATTTATTGATTTCTGATGCCACCTTTAGATATTTCTATTCAATGCTTTATGCTTTTTGGCTATCATAACTGGACAGTTCAATACTTGACGCATTTTGTTTGGTACCAAAAAAGTATTGATGTAGGATACCCAGCCCTATCCATCATTAGTCTGAATCGTTCTTCACTTTCCTTCACCATTAAAGATGTGTCTCAGTTTGCTATCCCCTCAAGCTACAAATTTGTGAAATATACGGAATACTGGACAAAAACAAAGATCCTTCAAATAACTGACAACATCAACAACTGAAGCAGAAAGCTTACAGAAAAGAAAAAAAAACAGACCAGGTAACCTATTGACTGGCTTGATGTTCTGCATCAGATCTTTAATCCATTGGTTGTGTTATGGAGGGATTACATCTCTCTGTTTAAACAGAACTGAATGTCTAGCTACTAGAGAAGAAAAGGCAATGACCTTATGCAGGTGAGCAGGTAGATTAGAATCATCTGGAAGTGAAAATATACAAAAAAACAGCAATAGTAGGAGAAGGCACCTTTTTACACTATGCTATTAGGGTGGCCATTCGTCCGGCCTTTAAATGTCCGGCTGCAGGCAGCCTTAGCCGGACACTCGTTTGTCCTCCTTTTGAGAAAATAACTAAAAAGGCCTGCCTTTTGACACATTACCTTGTTAGTTTAATACTTATTGGCTAAAAAGCTGTGTCAAAATAAGTCATTTCATTGGTTACATTTTCATGTCACATGGCCAATTTTAATATTCAAATGAGCCATGTTTGATTCCATCACCCACCAGGCTGTCAATCAAGCTCTCAGGGACAGAGAACATAATGTGAGCTAATGTCAGAAAAATGCTCATACTCATATGTAGATAGGCAAAGCTTATACATCTGAAACAGAAGTTGATAAAAACATTAAGAACAGTTTCTGTATGATGTTTATTAGACCTATGTAATCTGAATTGGAAGGGCACATTGTCATGAGCTGTATCTTGTATATTTATTATTAGCTATGTGGTATGTGTATGCACCTTTATGTAATCTGGTGGAAAAACATTAAAATTTAAAACCGGATCATACCAAACAAATATCTGCTTGCATGTCCCCGTGTATGCAAAGTGTCCTCCTTTTTGATGTGAAGGAAATGGCCACCCTATATGCTATATGTATAAAGTGAGAGAGTCAGTGGGATGTTGCTCAGCCATATCTCTGCAATAAGCTGAAACCCACGCCATTAGTAAAGTAAAGTCACACAAACACACGACAAAGAAGTACACAGGAAATAAAAGTGAGAAAGGAGTGGGGGAGGGAGGTTGAGGAGGGAGGGTCTTTAGAAGTACCTTTGCTTTATAGCTCAACATCTCAAACACATGATAACTACCCTTTCCCACAGACACAGACAGGGAGTGTTTTCTCTGTGAGAGGGAAAAGATGTTCATTGAGTTTATGGCTCAGTATCATCAAGTGTCCACCGCTGTCTGATGGCTCTATTTGAACTGTCTTTAGTCTGTGTGCCACTGTGTCTGAATTATATTTCTACACATTATTAATGCTACTCACTAAACACTATGTATTGATGTTCATTTGCATTATTTTGGCAGTTAGCATAAGGTAAATGGTGTTGTGGAATGTAGAAAATATTTCTGCACTTGAAGCACAACATTAAGAATTTGTACACTTTACAACTTACACACTTCTGGCAGAGAACTTGCAGCCTTCTGAGTATGTAGGAGAAACTATTGTGGCTGTGAAACTTGAGAAAGACCCTATATAGAGCCAGTGTTTGATTTGTCCGTTCTGGGCTACTGTAGCATCATGGCAATTCAACATGAGGACAATGTAAGTATAAGTGGGTGACATTCTAAGGTAACGAAAAGACATTCATTCCTATATACAGATACACATTATAATCCATTTCTGCCTATAGATCCTCCTAAATCTTACACACTGGACCTTTGAGGAAATTTGCATGCTAAAAACAAAGATGGGATGATAGGCTTGACCAGGACTGGGCTTTGCGTGTAAAGATGTGTAAAGGATGTCATGATTTGTAAGAGTAGAAAAAAGACTTGGCTGGTCTCAGACTAATCGATTTTGAAATTGGGTTGCATAATAAAGATTGACTTTAATAATACACCCTACACCCTACTAGCTCACTTAGAGCTGGTGCCCCTTGTACCAACCCACGTGTGATCCCTTCGCAATAAAAGCCCCCCCAAAAGAATAAAATGATTATGGTGCATGACACACTACAGGATATTATTAAAGGTCCAGTGTTTAGGATTAAGGGGCATCTAGCAGTATAGTTGCAGATCACAACGTTGTCAGATCACCCTCCCCTTGAAAGCATTTTGGAGAAACTACAGTGCTTGCAAAAAATGCAAACACCCCTATCTATAGCAGGGCTACTGTAGAGACTCATTCTCATTCTAAGTTAACGAAAACACAACAATTGTTGTATTCAGGTGATTATACACTAATGAAAACATACCTATTAATATTATATTCCATTGACAAAAGATCCTCCTCAATGTAACACACTGAACCTTTAGGATTTAGTGTAGTGGAACAACTCGCTGTAGTAGTGTTAATTCTTTACATTGAGAAAAGCCCAAAGCAGAGGGCTAAATGAGTCTGGATGACAAAATGGTTGGGGAGACGAGCGAAAACAGGAGGTGAGATTTTAACTGTCAGTTTTAAGTCAACAGTTGTTGCATGGCAGCACCTCTGATTCACTTCTTACAGACGTATTCATCCAGGTTTTACCTCCAAAATATCAAACACTTGACCAATCGGGACGGGACGGATCTGTAAACCACTCAAATTAACAGAAACTGGGCTGAACAGAGGTACAGAGGACTATATTTCTCCTCCAATTTTTGGGAGGGGTGAATCTGAGGTAAATCTGGACAAACATCTGAGTCCGGCTTAAATGTGTGTGTGTGTGTGTGTGTGTGTGTGTGTGTGTGTGTGTGTGTGTGTGTGTGTGTGTGTGTGTGTATGTGTGTGTGACAGCTGTGCAGTGCAGGTGTTCTGTCAGACAGATGGTGAGGACATTTGAATGCTCCCAGTAAGCACCTGATTTGCCTCTGGTCTATCCAGAAAGCAGCCATCTATTTCAACACTAGTTTGACATTGTTTGTTTTACTAATTGTAGATTCAGAATGCTGTCAGTCAGCACACAGGACTAGAGGCCCCTTCAGGCAGACTGGTTAGAGTTTTTAAGTCCACGTCGACATATCTGTGCCTGACAGTTCAATTTCAAACCAACTCCGGTCCAATTTGAAAGATTTCAAATAAATTCAAAAGGACCAGTCTCCTCTGTCTCACCATCTCTCTCTCTCTCTCTCTCTCTCTCTCTCTCTCTCTCTCTCTCTCTCTCTCTCTCACACACACACACACACACACACACACACACACACACACACACACACACACACACACACACATACAGACACAGCAAACTCTCCTCGCTGTAAAGCCTTCTTAACTTTTCTTCTACATCTAATAAAACATCAAAACACATTACAAGTGTGTGTGTGTGTGTGGTGGGAGGTGGGAAGGTAATTGACCTAGAATCTCCTCACCTATCTGTGCGTACACTCTGACACCAGTAAATGGCAGTTAAATAACTGGCATCGTTGGTAACTTTTTCTCCCCACACACTGCTCAGCTCTAAAGGCTCTGGCTTTTCATCCCACAGGTGTGTGTTTGAGTTGGAGCACTGTGTTTGTGTATATGTGTCCTGTGCAGCTTGCAGACAATATGAGAGAGGGGCCCTATCTTTAGTCTGGTTTACAGCCTTTAACAAGGCAAGCCTTGGTCTGGCTGTCATTCTGTCATTCTTTCAGGCTGTGATGAGGCCTGTTTTAGCCAGGGCTGCTGCTGAATGGAGGGACAGAAATGCATATGTTGAGATGCTATGTGAACACCTGTCCTGCTCTGGGCAAGGCTACAGTGAAAACATTAAGATGCTGATGTTTCAGTAAGCAGGCACAAGGTTTATGAGATTAAGATTAGCTAATTAGCACTAAATACAAACTATACTAAGGCTGGTGGGAATGGCATTAGTTCTGCAAGTAGGCTATTTGCTAATAAACCAAAATATTGGACAAATTAAATGCTGACCTGATGACTGTGGTAAAGGAAAAGTCAGAGGATCACCGAAGTGACAATTCATCCTGAGTGGAACATGAATGTCTGGGCCACGTTTCATGACAATCCATCCATTGAGACATTTCAGTCTTGATAAAGTAGTGGAGCAAAATGAACAATATTTGCACATTCAGAGATTCTGGAAGTTTTATGAGGTAGAAGGCCTTTTAAGCATTTTAATGTGGAAATTATACTTTTTTTGTGGAAAAAACATCAGACACACATTATTGTTCCAAGAAGACTATTTATATATGTCTTTATATGTCTGGAGGCGATCTTTAAACTCAGATTATGTTGCTTTATGTTATTCATAATTCCCAAATAACAATTATATTCTAGCATGAATACACTCAAGTAATGCAGTGTCAGATATACATATTTTTAATTAAAAAAAGCACTGTACAAAAACAACAATCTTATTAAAAAATACAGATAACAACACACCTTACATTTACAGGATCTCGATTTTATTGTCAACCTCCCTTAAGTTAGACTTTAGTCATGTGCACAGCACATACAGCTGACATTTTATTAGGTCCTGTATAAAACTACAGGACAGCTGATAAAAGTAGTTGATACAAAATTGCCATAAGACCACAGGACTCAGAATCATAGATAGTACAGTATCATATCATCACCTCATGATAAAAAAATATATATTTCCCTGAACGCATGTCCAGGCAGCAGAGAGAAATATATCAACAGTTTACAGTTTAGGAATATAAACCAGTGTGAACAATGAAATCCAGTCATTTCTATAACCATCGAAAGGAGTGTGTTTAAATATACACTCCCTGATACACACCCTCATCAACAGCTCACTATTGATGTTTCATGAGGCAAATTTAAAAACAGCATTTTCTGACTTACTTCTAAGTTGATCAAAGCATGCTGGGTTTTTTTTTTTTTTTTGGGGGGGGTTGTTTCTCCAATTACTCCCTTTACCTCTTATTTGTTGTGCTTACAGGATCCAAAAATGGCTTTTAAATAACTCCAGATCAAAATCTAGAAACAATGTTCTTGTTACTCTGGATAATCCTCAAAAAATTGTCCCTGGAACACAGTAATGGGATTTGACTCACACTGTGACCTGGAAAAAGTCATTCATGGACTAATGTTCTGCAGACTAGACTGCCTGTCCAAATCTGAATTTTTTGCTCTTATGTGACTCAGATCATATTTTTCATGACAGTGTGAACAGCACAAATCACATGGAATCTGATCTTTTCAACTCTGATTTGGGGCACTTTCATATGTGGTCCAAATCAGATAGAGGTCGGATTTATTTTGCAGTGGGACCTCAGTGTGAACAGTCACATCAGAATTCACATGACTTTTACATGATTCTAGATAGACTTGTCATAGATAGGGGCATAGGTCATGCAGGTCATTTCAGGACTGTGGTCTGTTCTGTTCTGACTGGCATCTGATATGGGCCACATTAAAAAATAATGTGAACAGCCAAACAAAAGGAAAATCAGATCAGAAATGAGCACAAAGGCTTGCAGTGTGAACAAAGCCTAACAACCTCCTCTCCTTTCTTGGCAGACACCAAGAGTCACTCTCTTGCCTCCAACTGGTTCAGAATGCAGCAGCTGGAATTCTCACTGGTTTTAACAAATGGCATCACATGACCCCAATCCTCGCTTGATTTCATCTCGAAAAATTGTATATAAATTGCTGTTTATGTTGTTTTATTTTTGGTGAGGTAAAAAATGCTATTGAAATATGTGGAATTCTTCATGATTCTTATTATTTTTTATTAGAAACTTAGCATAGTGGGTAGAGTCTGCTCTATCTGAAAAGTGTCCTGAGATAACTTCTGTTATGATTTGGCATTATACAAATAAAATTGAACTGAATGAAGGGAATTTGGGATCTTAGTACCATTCTGGCTGTTCAAAGTCGAGGCACAAACCTAAAAGGTGACCGTGCTTTTGCTATCAGGGTCCCTCAGCTTTGGAATGTCCTGCCAGAGGAGATAAGGCTTGCAGAGTCAGTGACTTCTTTTAATTCACTTCTTAAACCCCATTTTTATAGACTTGCTTTTATGTCATGCTGTCTTTTAATCTTTTAATTTATGACTATCACTTTCATTGTCCCTATCTTTCATCAGCTTCTTTCCTCTACCATGTTTTTTTCTTCTTGTTATTTCTGCCTTGCCTGTCTTTGGCCTCAGGGCCTTGCACTCTGCTCTTATATTGCCCCCCGAGTATCCTGTTTTTGCTTTGTCTGTCAAAGCACTTTGTAAACTCTGTCTTTAAAGGTGCTATATAAATAAAGTAATTATTATTATTATTATTATTATTATTATTATTATTATTATTATTATTATTAACAGCTTGTTCTGTGGATTATCCAGAGTTCACAGGGATCATTCTCAGTTTTTCAAGGTAAAGATATCATAAACACTTAGTTGGTGACAAGATTTACCTTTTAGCAGTGAGATGGGAAATTGTGGATTTGGAATGCTGTTGGGCAGTACAATTAAATCAAAGAGTGTATCTGTGATCATCAGTGACTGTTAACGTTTAACCATTTGAGCATAAAGTTAGTACAGCAGTCACACACTGCTGACTGCTGATTAACCAAATGAGCTGCCAGAATAGAGGGCTGGCTCAGTGACAGAAGGCAAAAAAGTATTCTACTGTAAACATGATGCCCACCATGCAAAGCAGTGATACTGGAGAACACTGAGCACAGCTGTGCACACCAGACACACCAGTATACCTGCAAGCATCACTGCCGACCAGCTGGGATGTTTGAGAGATTTAAACACTGTAACTAGAGATGTTACAGAACCAGCAGACAGTGGCTTCTGCACTTATTCTGACAATGTATACAATGATATGTATCTCACAGCAGTGAGCCTGCATGCCTTGGATCAGTCTGCACATCCATGCTGGTTTGAAGGAATCGCAGCCTAAAGCCATCACAGTGGCAGTTTGCATATTTGCTTGAGCTATTTGCAACTTAATACCTAGCATGTGTGTTCAGTGTGGCCGGCCTCTGCACTAATGCATCATCAGTCCTACAGAAGGCACTCAACAGAGAAAACAGTACAATCCCAAACAGCAATTTGGCTGGTTACAGCATATGCTAAAGTATGTGGAATGTTAAAACTGAGATTTCAAACTTCTTAAATAAAAGACTGAATAAGAAATCAGGAGAGTTTAGCACAAACAAACTAGAAAACAGGTCAAATATGGTCACCTATTTCTCACCAGTGCTTTTTTCCCCCTGGTTGTTGACGATAGGTGAATTTATTCATCAATTGCATCAAAGCCAGCCAATGGAACGCTCCTCACACCTTCAGACGGCAACTTCCACCCAGCTCCGTTGGTTTAAAACTGTCCTCCCCCCTCCCGGAATACCAGCACCTTCAGTTACTTAGAGGTTATATTTACAAAATATATAAAGAAAAATATAGGGTTACTGGCCCTAGCATATAGTACAGTCCAACAGCTGTCCGTAAATATTTCTTCCATGATTATCCTTTCTAAAAGTAAATCACAGGGTAAAGATAGCCGGAAAGTGACAAGGCGCAACTAGGACAACATGGCTACCAGAGCTGGGCTGCGGTCAACTGCAGAAACTAACAGAGAGACAGAGAGGAAAAGAAAGAAGGATTCTGGGAAATATGGCCACTAAACTGAGCTAGTGCATAGGACAGCTAATGCTGCAGGACGTTAAAGCTTGAGGGCTGTTGGTTTAGTAAAAGAGAGGACACGCTACAGAGAACTGGAAATTGTGCCAAAGTTTGTATCCTCAACAAAATGTATTTGTGAGCTTATTTTATCCTGAGTGTGTTATTGTTTATCACTGCACCAGGAAGTGTATGGAGGGGAAATGCACTTAGTGAGTGACACTGATGTATCGCCTGAGAAATCCCATAAAAAATCTGAAGGAAGAGATACTAACATCAGTAAAGGACTAGTTCGACGTTTTGAGAAATAATTTTTGCTTTCTTGCTGTTAAATCCATATCACTCTCATGTGCATGCCAAATATGTAGCTACTGCCAACAGGTGGTTCGCTTAGCTTAGCACTATGACTTGAAACAGGGGGAAACAGGTAGCCTGGCTCTGTGCACAGTTTGAAAAATATGCTTACCAACATCTTATTTAAGCTCACTACAGGGGAAGATCTAGCGGGGTGGAACCCCCTAAAAAAATGATACAGATTAATTTTAAAAATAATCTGTTAAAATTGTATCTTATGGCATATAATTTAATGATCTGTTATGGCCACATTTTAGACTCAGTGATAGGCCGAAGTTCAATAACGAAAGACACGTATTTGGAGAAATGTCCTAAGAAATAAAACAATGCATTGATTTCTAATGCCACCTTTAGATATTCAGATTCAATGCTTTACTACTGTGTTGCAATAATGTCTTTGAGTTCAAATATCTTTATCTTTTCCAATCAAATATTGGCCGATATACTGAATTATTAAGCTTGGCACAAACTACAATATCTGCTGTCCAAGCAGGCAGACCAGTCCATAAAATAAAGAATAGTCCTATTCCACAGTCAAGGACACAGTTTCTCGGTAGCGTCTCAGCGCTTTAAACTTGCCTTTAAACCCAAATTCCCCACTTATATAATGTCAAAGAGGATGCCTCTTTCTATCTGCAGTCTTATAGGTCTCACTGAGATTGACGGCAGAAAAGTTCAGAGTTCGCCCCCCCTGGCAAAGCTATAAACAGACCAGTGGAGGTTGTGTTTTTTTTTTTTTGACCCCTCCGCTCCTCCTCCTCCTCTCCTCCCCACCTTTCTCTGTCTCTCTCTTTCTCTCTCTCTCTAGCAGTAAGATGATACTGTTTCAATTAGGCTCATGTGCCACACAAAAGAGTGCTAACTTTGGGTAATCAGTACCACTTCTGACACCAAAGACCCCCATGCCTCATTTCTTTTTTCAGGCTAAGACTCCCAAGGGTCCTGTTTCTGTTAAAAATTATACAAAAAAAACTTGGTAAAGTCATAAACGTCTCCTGTGCACTGCTCTGTATTTGCATATTTTCCCATCAGTGCAAAGACAGCATCTAAAGACAGGATTTCATTCAGTAGCAGCAAATATAGGATAAATTAGAAAATGAAAACATAAATAACATTTAGCATCTTGTATCTTTCTCTTACCCGCCCACGGTGAAAAAACAACCCCTACTAAAAAAATACAAAACTGCTGTGAAACATAAATTAAAAAAAATATACATAACAAAAGATCAAATATGATACACTTGCATAAAGCTTGGAGTGAAAGTGCATCATGGTGTGGAGTCCCCCCCCCTCCACCCCATCCCAACTTCCCCGTCTCCAAATTGAGGTGAAGTCTATTTATGAGGCCACTAGATTCTTGGCAAGAAATGTGTCACCGTCATGGCGGGTGACACTCGGTTTCCTCTTTTTGTTTTGCCGTTCTTACTCAGTCCGATGTACATCCTCGGGTAGGCTACTGACTCGTAGGCGTTGTAGTTGTTGGCGAGGAGCTTCTCCCTGAACTTGCACTCGTTGTTGTAGTGCAACTGAAAGAAAAAAGAGGGAGATGTGAGGGTTATTTGAAAATGCTGATTGTTTGAAGGGAAAGACAAAACCAGGACATTTATTTTATTTTATTTTTTTTGGGGGGGGGGGGATTGCGAGTCTGTATTGTTTGGTGTGATTACTATCAAACAATTGCTGTATTTCTGACTGCAGGACTATTGTACATTAGCTGTTTAAGTCAGAGATTTAAACAAAAAATGAGATTATGAAATGATGAATGATGTGAGTGAGGCAGGACTCGGGACACCATGCTCTGATTGTGCTCATTTCTCGCAGTGAGTGGAATAATAGCTGGTGAGCTGGAAATAATAAGGCTCTTTCCAACTGAGTTCATGTGTTGTATTCTTCTAAGAACCAGGAAGTGCTGTTTGTCCATCTGGAATGACTACACATTGGTTCTCATTATCGCTGAACTGGATTGTTTTGCACCAGTTTTTCCTAAAATCATCCCTAAGGTTGTGTGTAAAGCAATCCTTTTACTAGCTAATTTCACATCAGTTATTGACTATGTTGGGTTGCACTATTAAAACTTGAGAAATTGCTTACTTAGCAACTGAAAACTTAATGTGCCCCTCCAGTCAAAAATGTGCTTTTCTTCTCATTCCTACACTATTATGTTTGATCTTCACTGTGCATAATGATGTATGTGCAGAGTTTGACACTGGAAGGACGTTTTCACATTCATCTGCTGAAAGTTATAATAATGTGACATCCCTAATAGTTTGGAAGTTAACACTGGTCCAATATGCAACTTCTACAAGAGTAATGTAGAAACTTGAAGGTCCAAGTGCACATACACTGAGAGCAGCATCAGCATCAAAGGCTGTATTATATCATCCAAACAAACTGCACAACAGTGTTTCAGAATGAGTAATAAATGCAATTTAGAGTTAGTGTTGGTTGGAAATATCTGATTATGCTAACCTCAGCATAGCTGTTAACTCATTCAGTCCGATGTTATTACATACAGTTGTAATTTGGGGCATATTGTATTATTTCTGTGATCTGTAATTTCAAATCTTCCCAGTTTATATCATTATTAAACAGTGTCAGGTCAAACATGTTGACTACACTCCTTATTACTTATTTTAATCCAAACAGATCATATATTCAGTGTTGGGCACTAAGGCATTACTAATATTACAGTAGTAATGTAACTTCCCCCAGTAACTAGTAATGTAACTAATTACTAATACATTTAATTTCATAATATTACAGTTACCCCTTTGTTGGCACCCCCTACGGATTTGAAATCCAACTATCCAATCACATCCTTGGATTCATTTTTGTAATCGTGAAGGAAAATACTTTGGAAAATGTTACATTCAGCAGCTGGAAATATTCCATTACTTTGATTTTAACAAACAAAACTGGATTTTAATCATCGTAAGTCTGAAGTTTGGGGAGAAAGGACACAATTACCAATCTTGTGGGGAGTAGTAGAAAAGAGAGTTTAAAAGAGTAACGAGTAATGAGTAACCAACACTGCATATATATCAGCAAGCTAATTTATATTTTGTCCACTGATAAGGTTGCAGTGGTATGAAAATTGACCGTCGTCATGTACACATTGCTTATCTATTGTATTTAATTATACTGTATTCGTTTTACTTTTGAAAATTGTATCCTACCGTATTAATGTTATTAATAATAATATATAAATAATATTTATATAATAATATAAAAAATAAAGGACATATTTTGTGAAATTATAATAAAGTGTTTGTTCAAATATACACTTAGTATATATATAGTATAGTCAAGTGTGCAGTACCCTATACCGTGAAACCATGGTATTTTCAAACCGTGAAACTATCTTATACTGTTGCAGCCCTATTGTAGTATCACTCTCCCCTCGCAGGTATAAATATTTAGTAATGAATCCTCTCTGTGATGCATCTTATTTCATTTATTTATTATTATTATTATTATTATTATTATTATTATCAATAATTATAACCGGATTATTTAATTTCATGGTTTTCTAGTGAAAAAGTTATTAAACACAAGGCTAGGTTTGCCTGTTCGTTCTTTTTTTTTTTTTGTCTAAGAAATTTTTGTTTTAGTGATTTCAGGCTTTGTCCATTGTTGAAGGGTAATTTTTGCTGTTGTCCTTTTACTTCAAATTTGAATTTATGTCTTGTAGTGTGACTCATGGCATTAATGGTATTCCCTTATGACCAGGGCTGTGACCACACTGAAGTCACACATTTCTTGGTGACAGACAGTCAGTTACGCCGTTCGTACACTCACAGATCCATACAGCTTTCCTCGCCGGTTCATGGCCACAAAGAGTCCACTGCGAACGCCCAGCAGGGTCACCACTCCTCTCTCCACTGGAGAGATCTGAAGAAGACCTTCAGGGAAAACAAAGCACGCACACTGAAACAGAACAGTCTGATGTAGAGAACCAACATGTGTCCTAGTTGATGAGCCAGATAGACCATAGCAAAGCTAAATAATTCAGTTTCTGTCTGAGATTGAAGCTGATGGCTCTTAGGCATATGAACATTTTAAACACATTTAGACATTGGTCAACAATTCAATGCTCAATAACAAATGTGGATTAGCTGTTCCAGGCCTTTATTGGGTATGTGTAAGCCTGATCCATACTAGATAGATAGATAGATGGATAGATTCTTTATTGTCCTTTTCAGGAAATTTGTTGCCAGTGTGTACATACACGTTTACACACAACATTACCACAGGATAGACATTTAAACACAGCATGAACATCTAAACACAACACAGGTAATAAACTACAGCTTTGATTGGATCCAAAAAACCCCGCCTAACCCAACCCAAGCCCGAAAAAGTTCTGTGTGAGCCTGGATCACAGAAGCAGTTTTGGGGCCAAGATCAATCCAAACTCTTGAAATAAATAAATAATTAAAACAGTTTATTACTGAATTAAACTACATTGTGCTTAAAACTAATAAACAAACAAAAATCAACTCATTAATTACAGTTGCATGCATTGTTAAGAAGAAATATATATATATATATATTTTAAAAAATAAATATAATTCTGTCTGAGCCTGACTTATGGCAGTTGTTTTGGGCCCGAACCTGGCTGGTCATGTCAGTGAATTCTTACACCCATGACTAACATGAAAGTTAGTGAAATTCTGATCAAATTCAATTCTGATGTTTAACCAAGCTATTTTAACCCAGTTTAACTCACAAACTGAGCTTAAGATATATCCAAATATTGTATGAGAAACAGGGCTGAGAATGTGTGGGTTTCAGTAGTCACAAAAAGAGAAAGACTTTTCCTGAGGCTCGCTGTAACAACAAAATAACAGGAGGTAAACAGCATTAAATGCAGACATATATGAAGGTTTACTGAACCCTGCTGATGCAGTTTGTCATTTGGTCTTGACAAGCTGTGTGTGTGTGTGTGTGTGTGTGTGTGTGTGTGTGTGTGTGTGTCCTTTGTTCCTGCCATCATTTGCTTTACAGTGGCTTGGATTCCTCACAGAGATTTTCTGTAATGTATCTCCCTGAATTTGTATGCCTTGTCTTTAAATAGTACAGAGGAAAAAACAACACGCTGGAAGTTCCTCAAGGTAGCTTGTCAGCTCCATCAGAGCAGTATCGCAGTCTCTGTCTTTGTCACTTGAATATGACACAGCTGGGGATGACAGGGATTACATTTGACATGTTAGGTAAATACATGTTCGTTGCTCTTCGTGTCTGCAAATGTGACTTTATGTTGGCCGGACCGCCGGGGGTTAATCTATCTTAACAGATGGGTCTATACGCCGTGTCCTAACTTTAGGTGCTGGCTGGCCGCTGGCCTGGATCACAGCGGGCTCTGGTTACACACGAGGCGGACAGCACTCAGCACTGTCCTCAAGCACTACGGAAGGACTCCAGATGTTGGTCGATCAATAAACTGTTTACTGACTGAGCAGCATCTCCTTCAGTGCTGATTGGAGTGGAAAGTAAAGGTCGGATCAGGTGTCAGCAGGTGCTGTATTAGTCAGTGACTGAAAACATTCTCTAATAATATGTTTTAATAATTTAGTTCTTATTTCTACAAAGCTTATTAAAACAGAATATCTCAGCTTTAATGTTGCTTTTGTTATTAATGTTGTTTAAAACCACCTGGGCTATACAGTAAACTGTGAGTTAACCAACAAGAAATACATAAATAATAATTGTATTAAATAATTGGCACAACTTACTGTGACGATTTTCGTTGTGTACTCCCGTTATTCTACCGTCCGGTAACACCTGAATATGAAAGCCGATCCCCACGTTGCAATAGAGGCGCCGTAACCTTTTTATGCCCAGGAGGTAGTCGCTGTCCCGGCTGACCTCCTCCCGCTTCTCCCCCGGGATCCGCGCCAGGGACCGGGAGTAAAGGGCCTCCCAGCGGTCCGCTGTCCCGTTCAGGCCGGGGACACATCCCGCCATTCCGGTCACAAAGCCCAGGACCAGGACGGTGCGCAGGGCCGCCAGAGAGCCCATCCCGGGTCTGGCTCTGAAAGCAGCCTCCCGGCGTTTGCCTTTCCAATGAAGAGAGAATAAAAAGAAACAGCAGCGTGTGGAAGTTGCGCTCATTCCCAGACCGACCGGCGCACTGGCTTCAGCGCCGGAGCGACATTGATCTGCATGGACGCTGTGCAGCCATGCCTCTATATTTATACCTGCAGACACATTACATCACAGCTCCACACTTAGAAGAAACTTACAAAGTACACTTTCACATTCAGGCGTAGCAAACAGAGCCGGGGGCTTTATTGAAATCAAATAATAGCTGTCTTATCTGAGAGCAAAGCCAAGAGTTTTTCGCAGATAAATGAATAAAGGCGTTATTATAATAATAAAAAAAAACTTCTTTGTGTGAGGCTTTCATTATCAGTAACAGAATATCATAATTTATGTATGGGAGGATGTAAAATAGGAAACGGTCAAGTTAACAGACCGTGGTGTCGAGACAGGAGACAGTTCTATAAATGAACAATAACAGGAAAAAACACAGGTCCAATTCAACCAAATGAGAAAAGCGCTAACTTAAGACTGGAAGAAGGGAAATCATGCCCCGGGCCCTTATAGAAAACAATGGCAAGACTAAATAGAGAGTTTACAGCATGATAAGTAGTCTGTCATTGTTGGCCAAGACTTAACACAGTTCTGACGTTAACTGCAACACTTGTCAAGTTTGTCAACTGTCATACTGTATGTGTTAATAGACCATGTATCATAGTATCCGTTTCTGTAGTAAAATAAATAAACCTTGCATGGCATGTGAAAATATATTTAGGTTATTGTTTAAAGGAAATACCTTTTAAATAGTTTATCTTAATCCTTATTAAAGACACATAGGTTTAGCATACTCCTTAATTCAAACAGCCTAAAGTTTGTTTTGTTTATTTCTTCTTATTTTTTAGACAAATCTCTGTTTTTTATTCAGGGATGTTGTGGACCTTCAGACCTTTAGGCAGAATCAAGAAAGGTAGTATCAAATTGATTTAATATATTTGTTTTTAACATTCAAATACTTCTCACACGAATAGATTTGTGTTGAAATGAGTTGCTGTGTTGATGGTGTCATGGCAGCACGTCTTTGATGTGTCATCCTTGACAGTCTTTCAGGTGCACTGGTGCATTGCTTGGATGTCCATTGAAATAAACCGAACTAAACAGCTTACCCTCCCTTTATTTCAGCATTTCATTATCCCTGTTAAATCTATGTTGAACAACAACATTTACCCTCTCTGCTGAGTGTCCCATTATTTATCTTTATGTTTGAGTACTGAAGGGTCTTCCCTCCCCGTCACCACAAAGACACAGTCCTTTGATCTCTGGGGTGGCTCGGTCCTGCTCCTCATTGACCACGCATGAAATGTTTTCTCACGTTCGCATTTGGCTGATCTTCAATGTATGACAACATTGTTTCTTTGTGTGCGGAAAAATAGCACCGTGAATGCAGTCAGATCTTAGAGGCAATCCTGTGATGTTGAGGCCCCTGGTAGATGACTACCAAGCCCCAGAATTGCTGACATACCAGCAAACCAACAGGGCCCAGTCTGGTGGTCCAAAGGACCTTCAGAAAGGATGGACCAAAAGAACAACCAGTGGTCCATCAAAGCTCCGCTGACAAGGACCAGCATAAGGGCCATCATATAAAATCAATCAACCCCCAGGACTACTGATGGACTGCTGGACCTGCAGGACTTCTGATGGACTGCTGGACCTGCAGGACAACTGATGTACTTCTGGACCTTCAGAACAGCTGATGGACTACTGGACCTCCAGGAGAACTGATGTACTTCTGGACCTTCAGAACAACTGATGGACTGCTGGGCCTCCAAGACAACTGATGGACTGCTGAGCCTCCAGGATAAATGATGTACTGCTGGACCTTCAGGACAACAGATGAGCAGCTAGACCTCCAGAAAAAACGTGTGGACCTCTGAGCTCCAGTGTAGCTATAAGGCTAAACGATCACATCACCTTCAGAAAACAGGATCGCTGACATACCATCAAACCTTCAGGAAAACTGAAGTTTGACGGACCTCTGCAACACCAATATCCTAGATGGCTGAAAATCCATCAGGCCTCCAGGACAGCTGATGAGTTTTTTGATCACCAGGATAATTGGACCACCATGTATCTCTGAAGAAGTGGAGGGCCACTGAACCTCCTGGGTAGCTGGTAGACCACACTACCAACTTATAGGAGCCAGGTAATTTGGCTGACCACATGATTGCCAAGACAGCCTCATCTGGCTGGTTCAATGTTCCAATGAAGATCTGGCAATGTATGTGAGCCAAATAAAGTTGGATTGGATTGGATTGGATGCAGACCTGCAGGTGCAGTGCTGTTGCTGTCCATGGTTCTGTAATCTCTTTCTATCACTTTCAAATAAAATTATGTTAAGATGTTTCCCTGGAGTCATGCAGAGATTTGTAAATTATGTACAGCTTTATTTTTTGTTTATGTTGTACTGAAGCCATTGTGGTTTTATGTGTGCAATGAATTATGCTGAGGGAAAGAGGTTTTAGATTTCACTGAGTGACAGCTGGAATACAGAGCTTAAAATGTCTCAACAGCATTTGTTTGCTCATTTGTTTATTTATCATTTTCAAACCTCTGCATCTTCTTGTAATACATAAATACAGGACAATGACAATGCCTTTTGAATTTACTTTTAGTCAAACAGCATTATCATTGATTATAACTATGTTTGTATTGATCCAACAGCAACAACTTTTAAAGTAAGAACCTTCGAAAAAAAAGTTACTTCCAAGACTGAAAATATGGTGTACATACCGTGAATAAATCTTCTGAATGTTGTGCTCATGACAACTTAATTCAGTCATTATTAGGGCAGAATTCAACCCATTATTTCTTTGAGTCACAATTTATTTGGATAGTCCGCCCAGTATTTGAAAAAATGTTACTGTTTGGCTTTGTCTTTAGATGTTTATCTATAATTAGTATTATGTGACAATTCATTAACCTACCCTAAGCAAGCAAGTTTTTTTTGCCTAAACCTAACCAAACCTTAACCACAGTGATGTAATATCAAGTTTAATCTCAACTAATCGTCCTTTTCCTTGTTTCTTGCCCTCATTCCTTTTTTTCCAGCAGTAATAGTTAGCAGCTACTGAAAAACAATAAAACAGTTAAACCACCCAGTGTATCAGACACTAAACATTCATCTTTTCATATAGCAACATGGGTTCCTGTCACACACATGTGAAAAGGTGTCCTACCTGTTAGTGAATGTGTATATCCAGTGTCATGTTCTATATATCCAAACAGAGGAGGAGCGATGTTTCTTCTGACATTGTTGTCACAGTACAGTTGGATGCTGGCCAGCTAGACAGCTGTTACTGAACTGCTGCCACACTGGATTCAGTAAGTGACTTGTACTGGTTAATTTGTCCACATTATGTAATTCCCTGTGGAAAATTGGCGACATGATGAGTAAAAACCGGACATTAATTCTACTGAGCTTTTATTGCCAGATACTGTCTTTAGAAGGTTTTATGTAAAATAGTGTATTATCCAGGCTTATAAAGGCAAAACATTCATTCAGTAATATTTAGATTATTGGTGTACATATAAGCAACATTGGAAACACAATCCACTGAGTGAAATCTCAGTTTGTAATTGTGTTTTAGCTGAGCTTTTGCAAACCAAATATTTTCATTGATCATTTTGATGCGGGTTGAAACGTCACTTAAGTCAAACAGAATTGCCTTTTTTATATTGGGTTACTACTTCAAACTCTGAAAGGATTGGATATGTCTTGTGTTTACTGGCTGCCTGCAGAGGGCATTGAACAGCAAAACTGAGACAGTCAGATTAGATGCACACTAACATGAGGCAACACGGCCACCAGTGTCTGGAAGAGAGACAGCTGTCTGCCTCTAGGGGTCACTATTTACAAATGAACATTCACAAATGTACTGCAGTCGCCTGCTTGAGCTCAGAGACCATGTTTAAAACACCATTCTACTTTTATAATACTGTTTTACCTCTGTATTCCCCTCTCCAGAATACTGAAAAACTGAAAACTTGAACTCAACATAATTCTCTCTGGTAAGCATTAATCTATTGTTATATACATGTAACATGAAGATGATAGCGTAGCAAAAAAAAATTAGTAACTTGTATTAAAGAAAAAAGTGTGTGCACCCAGAGTGAAAGAAAAAGTGCTTCTCAAATGGAGGGTACTTAAATTATCAGTCATGCATAATTCCTAAAATAATAATATCGTAAATTCAGTATATAATGTAATTTAAATGCCATCTTAGTGTTATTGCATGAAGACACAAACTGCTTTACCATAAATTTGAAATGAAGCGTTTAACAGTTTTTTAAAAATCAATCCAACACTGATGGTGCACTGCTATATTGTACCACATATTTTGCTCGGTCAGGCGGTACTTGGCTGAAACATTTAATTTCAAAGGGGTACATTAATTTAAAAAGTTCAAGGGCCCCTCTTCTTAGGCACCCCTTTTAAACAATTAATAAGAAGTAAGTAACATCTTTATTAATGGTGTAACTAATTTACTGGTGATGTACAGATCATTTATAAGCTTTTAGTAAGACCATCTTTTTAGGTTCAAAAGATTGTGAATCATTTTGGCTGTTGTTTTTATAAATGTTGACAATCCAATAATAAATGCAGTCTGGCAGCCCAATATGTCTTTGTATTTCTGGTTTAAATGATCTATTTACTTTTCATAGGGCCAGTTGTTACAACTTGTAAGCCTTTATAAGATTTTTACACCTAGAAGAACAGCATTAATTCTCATCTTACTGAAGCTGTGGATCCTGTGTTTCCCTCTTTGGATGATGGGCTTAGAATGATTCAAATCTTATGCAATTCTCATCAAAATGCTCTCTAAGGAATCCTTATCCCTGAACCCATCAGCCCAGCAGATATTGCGGATGAATGTGGTTTTATATGCCCGGCTGATTAATCTTTAATGGGATGCCACAGATGTTTCTATCTGTGCACGAATGGAAGATACATGTTGCTAAATAAACTAGACAAGCAGGGAGAGGGGCCACAAAAGGCCCTAACCTCACTGCAGTCCAGAATTCCTGTTGAGTAATATTAGAGTTTGGCATTCATAAGAAGCCATAGCAAGGTGTTACACTTTGTATGACACAGTTTCTGCTTTCAGGAGGGCCTGCCTTGTTTATCGACTCTGTGGCTTTTGGTCGGCGTTTCAAAAAAAATCCCAAAAGTCTCAGGCGGCATCGCTTCCCAGGCCCCCCTTGGGAGGAGCTATTGTTCGGGCCAGGAAGCCTCCCCAGCCCTCAGGTATAGAATGACAAGGCTTTATATGCAGCTACCTATAGATGGGAGTGAGGCAAGGCTAAACCTGAACATCCAAAAGAATCCGAATGTTGCTTGTGATGAATTTTACATTGATGGTCGTCTTTGTAGTTTGTGCTTGGCTGTGTTGCAGCAACAGGTGTGGTACTTTAACATATGAGCCGCAGCGAGGCGAGAGGAATAATGTCACATGTAGATTCACATGTACTTCTCTCCTTAAGGGATTCTTAATTTAATCCCACAAATCATTGTTGGATTATATGTGTTTTAGTACTAAAAGGGACTAAGAAACTATGAAATAATCATTAGGTTTACAATACTGACAGTATCACAGCTGTTGTGATATTATATGTAAAACTGGTCTCAAAAAGTGCAATTTTGAGGTACTTGTATTTTCCACTGTATGTTACTTTCACTTCACTATATGTCAAAGGGTAAATATAACTATTAACTTCACTATATTTATCTTACAGTTTAATTTAAAATTTAAGATTTAGATTGTTTGATGATTAACATTTTAGATACAAAATGACCAGTTAGGAAATATGATGTATCATACATGTAACAATTCATATAAATAAGTTAAAGTTAATATTTAATACTGTGCTTTTACTTCAATTAAATTTTGAATGCAGGATTTTTACTTGCAGCACAATGTTTTTACATTCTCGTATTGTTAATTTTAAGTATGTGAGTACTCAATTAAAAGTAGAAGCCCAGCATTAACATTTTTACTTAACATAGCTACTACAAGGATTTTTTAACTGGTTATGGTCATGTGGAGTAGCACAATGGGTCTGGGTAAAAGTCCTGCTACTTTACTCTTTTTGTTAAAAACAAAATGTTTCCGATTTTCAAAGAACTGCGCATGACAGAACAGAAGAAACAAAAACTGAAACAGAGACTTCATCATCTCACATACAGTATATTAAGTGTATTTAAACACTTAATGTATAAAATGTTTTCCACAGAAAAATCTCAATTTACAATTATGATTAATTTAACTTTAAAAACAGATTTTGTTTCACTTTGAGAGAATAATGTATCTTGAATGGTAAATGATTCCACTGCTGCATTTACCTCTCTACTAAACCACAAAAACATGTCTTCTTTTCAAGAGAAAATGATACGATTCGAGATCAAATGAAAGAAAAGTGGGAAGAAACAAGCCAGCAGTTTCCTTGGGTCAGTACCATTGTGTTTTATGTTGGAACTAGGTGGTGAGTGGAAACAAACTGCAACATTATGCAGAAACAATCTTATCAATAACTTACAACACAGGCAACAAATAAATATTCATATCATTAGTACAATATACAAAGTACATCTTTAAGTTTACAGACAGTAGACTATCACATTGTAAGAATGTTGCAAAAATATTAACAGGATCTTGTCTCCCACTCAGTGTCCCTCTGCTTCTTAATGTGAATCTGACCAAAAGTGCTTTGCTGTGTAAAGTCCTCTCTTCAACAACCATCGTGTTTGTAAGCACTTCAAGATAGCAAAATATTTCACAAATGCAAAGCAGTAGAGTCACTGTACAAGCATAGTGCATACTGTATTTACAATAATAGCTCTGTGTGAAGTTGATGGTAAAATGATTTATTGTACCAAAGAAGAACTCTTTACAAAGCTGGAACCTTTCAACTACCTATATTATTTGTTTAAGACAGTAGCATTATGAAGAAGTCAGGCCTCAGTAAATAAAAGATGTTACCGCTGTGTGTGTGTGTGTGTGTGTGTGTGTGTGTGTGTGTGTGTGTGTGCTAAAGTCTCTCTGATATATGTGCCCCAACGCTTGTTGTGGCCCCATCTTTCCTTCTTCCTTCTATGGATTTGTTTCTGTGCATCAACAACAAAAACTTCCAGAAGGCAGGATCCACCAAGTTTTTTTTTCCTCTGTTGCAATCAAGCTACAGTATGTGCCAAGATTAGGGGTCCATGTTTGGATTAGTCATAGGGCCACAGCTCCCTCTTCCAAAAGTCTCCTCAGTCATCTTGCCTTCGGCCCTGGCCTGTCCTGGCACGGTGCCGGCGTCTCCGGTGATCACCGCGGCTGCTGCTGTGGTGGTGCGTGTGGTGATGAGCACTCTGACTGTCTCTCAGCCGCCTCACCATGTCATGGTCTTTGTTGCCCAGCACCCGAGGCAGGAAAAGTGAGGCTTTGTCCGTGCTTCGGGTTTTAAAACCTCGCCGCGGCCGGCCTTTGCCGTTAATGGAAACATACCACTGCCGCTTGGCGCTGGCTCGCCTCTTGCTGCTGCTGCCGCCCCCTGGTGGCAGCGGTTGCTCCGTGGAATGGTGGCGGGAGGCGTAGGTGTTGTACCCCAACTCATGGATTCGCTCCACAAACTCACACTCTCTGGTGAACACTTCCTGGGGGGATGAGAAGGAAGATAACAGTGAGCCACATTTATCCTGCAGCCTGCCATACGTTTTTGATTCACAGGGCAGCCCCTTAAACACGTTGCAAGTGTTTGCATTCAGTCGAATGCCACCACTATCTGACACCAGATCAGTCCTAAAATGATACAATTTACATGAACACGTAAGGTGACAGCAGATAAACACTGAAACCAAATCATCCTGTCTCGTCATATGTGAGGCCTTTAAAGTGCCATCCTTGGGCTAGTTTCAAACAGAGCTGTATGAGCACACAGAAGGTGACACATTAGATGATGAGATGGAATCTGTACCCACCGAGGCATACAGCCGGCCTTTGTCGTTCATGGCCAGATATCTGCCAGAGAAAAGCCCTTTTATGGCCACAACACCCACATCCACGGCTGTGATTTCCATGATGCCTGCAACACACAGAAACACACTTAAATGTAACATATGGCTGTTTACTATGCCAATCATTCTAGTTAAAAATATTTGAAAGATTCACTTTTTGTCTCTAGATGTATTAATCACTCCACTAATGAATCCACAAAAGTAAAACATGCAAATCAAGTTCACTCTTAACTAAACAAACCTTTAAAGTAAATGAATTCACTTCTGGTTGTATTTCCCACCTCGCGCCGCCCAATTCAGAGCGTTTATTGGCTTTTTTTAATCAGTGCTTGATTAGTCAATAGCCTATTGAGCGCTGTAGAAAGCCTCTAATGGCCGCTGATTAGATAAATACATCCGTTAGGACAGCGCCTTGTCCCGCCTGGATGTTTTACTTTGGCTGATACTTCTAATAGAGATTAACCTGCATGTCGGCACACAACACACACACACACACACACACACACACACACACACACACACACACACACACAGAAGTAACTGAAGTAGTAGTAACTGACAGTGAAACTCTGATAGATCCTGATAGATTAATCATATCAGAATTTACTAAAGTAGATTGACACAAACACATAAACAACATCATAATCGAATATACTGATTAGTGCACCTTTTAATATATTAAACTTATATTTAAAACATTATTTAATTATTTAAATTAAATCAGTTTCATTTATTTCAACCAATCTGAATGAAAAAATGTAATTTAGCAACTTGAATTTAACACTTTGAATCAAGCGATCCTTTCCACAGAAAATAAACCACATCGTGTCACATCATTTGTCATTATCATGTTTATATTTGTCTATAATAGTTTTGCCTGTGTTGGTGCGTAAAACCAAGTGAATACTCACTAAACGGGTTGTTTTCCTCCAGTGAGCCATCTATTTTCCCGTTAGGATGGATTTGTAAATGGTATTTAGTAGCGCAGTAGAGTTTCCTGCGTCTCGGCGCTCCTCCAAGGTGTTCATACACTCCTCCGCGGCCCCCGGCATCCCTCCGCTGCCGGGGGTCACAAGTCTGGCTCCGGTCGCAGCTGGCCCGGGGACTAACGGGATCCGAAAGGCTCAGCAACACCAGCAGAGGTATCATCAGCATTGTGGCATGGCCAGGAAGCGACTATTTTGGTGAAAAAACCGAAAACTCCTGCCCGGTTCTCGGGGTCCCATTAAAGTCTCGGGGCCCCAACGCTCCAGAGCTCCAGACTTGCGCACATCCGAGCCAGAGAGACACCGCTGACAGCACAGCCGCCCCCGAGGTAGGATCCGCTCCACGCCTCTGCTGCTGCTGCTGCTGCTGCTGCTGGAAATCCCTCCTGCTAGTCTGACTGAGAGCCTGTGCTCAGACTGAGAGCAGATATAAAAGAAGCTTGTGGCGACAATAGGCTGAACTCCGACCAATTGATACAAAGGAAAGGGGGAGGCAAAAGGTATCAGCCCTGTGTGAAGTGAGAGACTGCGGCGTGGATAAAATTACACAGTGGCTGAGTGCGGAACAGCTCTCTCCTCTGAACTCCTCTTCAGAAATATCCTGAATGAGCAATTAGACATCCCAAATTATACAGGCGGGCTGAGCCAGCGCCAGGGACTGCGACAGGTGAGGAATAACACTGTTGCTGGATGTCATGAACCTACCTTAACTTTTAAAACAACTTAACAGAGTACAAAGGAACTTATTTCACTGTTGGATTCAGACATTTCTCCTCATTCTCTTGTACTTATCTGCCAAATTTCTGCTAGTGTAAGAAGTTTTCTGAAATAACAAAAATGTTATGGACTTTTGGGAGGTCTACATCTACTTGAAGTATAAATATTAACCCCCATCAACAGGTGCTTTCTAAGCCAGCCCAGTAAAGCCATCATGACAGGCTGAGGTCAATACAATAAACATTTTTTGTAATTTGTAATTTGCCTTAAATCAGAGCTCCCTGCTGCCAGCACAGTCCTGCATAGATCCACAGAGTTCTTCCAGAACTAGTTGACAATTAAGCCGCCACTGCAGGTAAACCTCAAACCTCTTCACTCAGCAGTTAAAAGTTCACAGCCTTCTTTGTTTTCAAGGATTTATACACTCCTTCCTCCCCCTGACCTGTGAGCTCTGCCAGCTAATGCTAATGGTCAAAGTTAGATTAAGAAAAAGAGACAAATGGTCTGTCACTGGGGCTTCCTCCATGTGCCACAGAGCAGCTCTCCTGTGCGTTATTCTTTATCCTTCACCCAAGCAATGGTTTGTCCCAGACTTTTCCCATCCTAATGCCCCGGCTCTGGTGAGGCAGCAGCCGGTGGGCGGAAGAGCAGCAGGCTAAATGACTACTGCCTAAATTGCTTCCATCTTGGTCGCATTATGGTTTGCATTCTGGTAATTAGCACCATCATCTACAAATCTCTCTGCCCTTTGGCGCTGCTCCACTGCTGCTATGAAGGTCTCTGCTGAGAATCCCCCAGAGAGTCGATGGTTAATTTGTCTTCCCCTCCCATACATCACCCAGCTAGCTGCCTCTGTCACTTTATTTACCCCAGTGATCAGAAAAAGGCAGCTCTTTTAATTACAAATGTGTGCACATTATGTCTCTGAGACCTCTTGCAACTCAGACAGCACACCAAAACATCAGCCGGGCCGTGTGTATCAGAGGTTGTTCTGGTGGCCTTTTCTAAGTGAGACGTTCTTGATGTGGTTAAATGCTGGAAGAGGGTGGAACCTCAGATGTGGTGTGCTGTTTCTCTCAGAAACTATTTTAATTACGCTCCCCTCCACGCCGCCCACAAAGCATCCCAGCAATAAGCAGGGCAAACGCTCTCAATTTGTGATGCACACACACACACACACACACACACACACACACACACACACACACACACACACACACACATCTTCACATTAGGATAAGTGTGTTGTTGTTTTTAATTTTTTAGGGTTAGAATTCCAGTTATGAAACAGTGCTAAATCTAACTTTTAGGCCTCATTCAGATCTCGTCTCCAGATGCATTTGAGCAGGATTGAAGGGTTAGGGTTAGCCCCATTTTTGACCTCAATACTTGGTCGCTCCCTACACAAACCTTGGTGGAAAAGTCCAAACTGTATATTTTCAGCAGTGGGTTGTATCTAGAAAAGATTTTCATAATCTTACAGATCTACTTCCTGCTGAGTGTTATAAAATGTCGTTTAAATACGCAAACTGTACCACGCTGTTGTGCTTGTGTTCTTCCCTGAAACGTTGCACAGATCGCAGCAGCAGCCAACATAGTCTGTAGAAACTTTGGTTTCAGCCTGGGAAAGCATTTTTCTCTCTGTGGGGACACAGAGACACCTTTGACGATTTTCCCTCCGATGTAATTTCTGCCGCTTAAGGCGTCTCTCGTCAAAACAATAACAAAAAAGTATGTTTGATGATGTGGTAAAGTAGCGTGGGATCATGGGAGTTGTTGTCTTCACCACCATTGCTGTCATTACAGTCCACTTCTCCCAGTTAGGTTTCTACCAGGAGACCAATGAGCCACAGAGGTCTCCTCCTCTCCAAAACAAACAGACCCGCTGGTTAAAACCACTAAAAACACTGAATAAAGCAGTTCCACCTTAAAAATCACTGCTTCTCCTATACAGTAAGGTAACGTTTCTGGTTCAATCTGTTTTTTTGTATCTTTGTTGCTGAAAAAATCATTTAATGATGTCTGATTGGGTCTCATTTTACAGGGCTGAGCCAGATTTTTCAAATCCATCTGTTTTGGGCTTTATTGCTGAAACACATATTACCTAAGACAGAAATGACCTGCAGTCATCAGAAAAGAAAGCATAGGGTTTGGATTAAAGAGCAGCAGACCTTGAGGACGATCCACCCAGCCAGATTGACTGGACAGGACCAGCCCATCAACAGTGGGTGCTGTCGCTCCAGGAGGAGAGCATGAGAGCCAGATAGGAGCCATGCTGGTCGGGCTTAGCTGCTTTTCTAAATGGGAGTCAGGCTGGCCAGACAACAGGAAATCAGAGACTGTTGTGCCCAGATCTTTACAGAGACCTGCTTCATCAACATCCTGGATCAACACTTTAAAGGCGGACCATGTTCCAAGCCGACAGAGTGTGTGTAGCATGAAGGAATAGCCTTGTGTTGAATAATGATGAATACACATTCCTTGAATCCTTGATTCTTCATGTTGGTGGAAAGCTGGTGACAGACCTGAGACCTGTGGCAGTGAAGCCCAGTTAGACTCTAATTTGGACTCTGTCTGATTAAGGTCCCAGGGTGGGTCTCAATTCCTCAGAACCAAGTGGACCCTTGAAGACGTCTAATGTACTGAGTGTTAACGTTACAAATGGGGCAAGGTTAGGGTTAGAGCATCAAAGTGTGTCTCAAATTAATTTTGAGCTATCACTTGTATCGGATCTGGCCTCCCTGCTCACTTTTGAACCTCAACTGCAGATAAACAAAAAAATAAAAATTTCTGTACAGCCATAGATTGAGAGACGAGGATTGGAGCAGCTGTTTGATGCCTCGGCTTGGGTACAGACTTCAGAACCTTGTCTGAGTTGTTTGGCAGAGGCAAATCAACTGTGTTTGGGAGCTTTGTCCTGCTATCTACACAATACAAATTTGACTAATTGGTCCTTCAGTGTGGCCAGGGAGCCATTCGAGTTCACATTACACTGCACCCTTGCATTCCTGACCGCCTCCAAATGTGGCTGGGTGATCAGATCCCATGCAGGGCGTCCTCAGTTCATTTTGAAAGTATTCACACCTGTGTTTAGAAGAAACAAGACAATGCGCAATGCTTTTGCTTCCAGAGAAAGAGCTTGGCCATTTCTCAATTATTTACCCAACTGAAATATTTCCAACCATTCCTTTTGCTATCATACACTCGACAAATGAATCCAAACCTAGCAACGTGAAGTGCTTCCACATAAAACCCAAAGCATACATTTTAACTTTCCCCTTTTCTCTGCTCCAGCCATGAATGAAAGCAAGAATTTCAGGGCTCCTTTTTTAATTGACATCCCCAAAATTCTCCCCCCACCACCACCCCAAAAACCCTCTTGGCACAAAAGGGTTTCTTTTCTGCAATTATACAAAGGTTATTAGCCAGGTCCTTTTCTTGCCCCCCCCCAACTCCTTTTAGCAGAGGAAAAAGGAGGTACCAGTAATCCAAAGCAAATCAAAATGACCTTTGAACCCATTCTGCTGTACTTTTTCTCATGGGCAGATTTCTTTGGTGAGGCGGTGATCAGAGGGCTGAACGCGGCCACTGCCTCTCGTCTCCTGACAAATCGCTGCTGAGCCTCTTTTGTCCCCCTGACTTTGATCTCACCTGCTTGTCAGGCGCTTCAGAAAAAAAAGTCTTGTACAGTTCCAGCACACAGCAAACAAATTGGCAACTATTTTATTCTGCCTCCCTCTCTTTTATTTCAACCCAGTCTTCAATATTGGTATGTTGGTTTGGTTAATGGTGTTTACATAAAAAAGTCACAGGTTAGAATAATTTATTTTGACAGTATCATTAAATAAATCTTTCTCACTCGCGTTTTACTTGAATAGTTTCTGGTGAAAAGGAGGCTCATGAGTATATCATAAAAGGAGACAGCAAAAATATTCTGTAAAAGGTAGACATTTCATGACTTAAAGTTCAGATTTCAACATTTTCTTGGACAAACAAAAATGGACTTGACTAGCTGGCTTTCTCTACTTTGTTAATGAGTACCACAATGACGGTTTTGCACAGTCTATGTCTTTCCACTGAGGTAAAAAGAACACAAAGTCCAGTTGAAACTCTCCTCCTTGTAACTCCAGATGAGGAAGGCACAACAGACATTTTTTGGCAATAAAAGTGCATGGTTTTTTGCACACAAAATGTATCTGCCAACTGTCAAGCCAAAAAATGTTCATACTCAACCAGCCTGTGGTCAGATGCTCAGGGTACATCTTGTAAAGTGTGAAGTCCACAGCAGGATATTGTTGGGTCGATGGATGGGTCACAAACATTGGACATTCTAACAGTAGACAAGACTTTGTTTCCCATGTAAATCAAAAATCAGTGTTGACTTATTTAAAGTTTTCAGTTTCATAACGTCACCAAATGTACTTATTTTGACCTAATCCACGATCTTTTCCTAAACCTAACCAAGTAGTTTTGATCCCCAAACTGCAACTGCTTCACAATGTTAACCGCGTGTTTAAAAGGCGCATGGCAAAGCATCATCTGTATTTGACAACATGGGATGAGAACGTGTTGAATAAATGTATCTGCAAAATTTTCACAGTAAGGCAACTCAAAGCACTTAAACTTGGCAAAAATCGCCATTGTTAAACATGAAAATGTTACCACTGACTGAAGCGATGGCAGGACATGTGGTATTGACCAAAACCATAATCTTTTGCTAAACTTAACCAAGAGGTTTAGTGGCCTAAATCTTACAAAACCTAGGCCGAAAAACTTGAATGACGAGAAAACTGAATATAACATGGGAGTGTCACTGTTTCTGGGATGTGAAAAGAAGCGTTGTAAGTGAATATCCGACAGCAAAATAATTTCCTTAAGCTGTGAACTGTGCTGAAGCTTCTAGTCTGAGTCTTGTGCAGAAGCAAAGTCTCAATTAGAGTCTCAACAATTTAACATGTGTATCCATTCATCATTTTTAATTATATATCTCTTGGGTGGAATATTTGTTCATGCAGTTGTCACTTTGAAAAGCTCAAATATCTCTTTATGGTTACAGAGCAGCAGACATTCATATTTGCTCAACTTTAAATTTTTCACACTTAAGATCAGAGTGGAAGAACCAGAAGATGCTGCTCAGCATCTTTAAGAGCTAATGTTTTGCTATGGGAATGTATCATGAAGCATGATCATAAAGAAAGAACGTTCCATGTGGCCAGGAAAATAAAACCTCTTCATGTAGGGATATTGATATGGACATACAGACATCTATACTTGCCGGGAAGGGTGGCAGGAAGATTTGGAGAGCTCATTTAATAATAGTAATCACCTCTCCACACTTTCCACCACATTTTTAATTGCGTAAATAACAAATGGTTTAATCACCTGTACCTACAGATAATTCAGACTACATCACAAAACATTTGAACTGAAAATGACTTAAAAAACAAAACTAGTGCTTCTATTTTCATTTTAAGGAAGGAAAACAATCTATGGTTGTCTGCTTTACATGAGATTAGTATTTAAGGACTTCTGAACATAGAAAAACATTTGCAGGATG